TCTGCGAACGCCTGATTTCATCCGGTTAGTGCACCCCCGCAAACATCTGCTTTTATCCGCAAACATCTGCTTTCATCCCCAAACATTTGCTTTTATCCGCAAACATCTCATTTTATCCGCGAACATCTGCTTTCATACGGTTTCACCCGTAAACATGCTTTTATCTGCGAACGCCTTATTTCATCCGGTTAGTGCACCCCCGCAAACATCTGCCTTTATCCGCAAACATCTGATTTTATCCGCAAACATCTGATTTTATCCACAAACAACTGATTTTATTCGCAAACATCTATTTTAATCTGCAAACATCTGCTTTTATCCGCAAACATCTGATTTTATACGCAAACATGCAGATGCATCTGCTTTTATCCGCAAACATCTGCTTTTATCCGCAAACATCTGCTTTTATCCGCAAACATCTGATTTTAATCGAAAACATCTGATTTTATCCGCAAACACCTGCATTTATCCGCAAATATCTGCTTTTATCCGCGAACATCTTATGTTATCCGCAAACATCTGAGTTCGGATAAACTAAACTAAAGTATACACGAGAAAAAGGAAAACAAAAAGCGCGAATTAAACCAGACGTTTGCGTACGAAACAGGACCGAAATGGACAAAGGAAATGCAGGCAAACCGAACGCGGATGAACGCAGAGATTTGCAATTAAAAGCAGATGTTTGGAGATGTTCGCGGATAAAAGCAGATATTTGCGGATAAATGCAGATGTTTGCAGATAAAATCAGATGTTTGCGGATAACATCAGATGTTTGCGGATAACATCAGATGTTTGCGGATAAAATCAGATGTTTTCGGATAAAATCAGATGTTTGCGGATAAAATCAGATGTTTGCGGATAAAATCAGATGTTCGCGGATAAAACCAGATGTTTACGGATAAATGCAGATGTTTGCGGAGGCCTATTTTCGAGTTCGTAGGAATCATTCTCTCGAGATGTTTGCAGATAAAATCAGATGTTTGCGTATAAAATCAGATGTTTGCGGATTAAAACAGATGTTTGCGATTAAAATCAGATGTTTGCGGATAACATCAGATGTTTGCGGATAAAATCAGATGTTTGCGGATAAAAGCAGACATTTGCAGATTAAAATAGATGTTTGCGTATAAAATTAGATGTTTGCGTATAAAATCAGATGTTTCCGGATTAAAACAGATGTTTGTGGATAAAATCAGATGTTTGCGGATAAAAGCAGATGTTTGCGGATAAAATCAGATGTTTGCGAATAAAATCAGGTTTGCGGATAAAAGCAGATGTTTGCGGATAAAATCAGATGTTTGCGTATAAAATCAGATGTTTGCGTATAAAATCAGATGTTTGCGTATAAAATCAGATGTTTGGGGATGAAAGCAGATGTTTGCGGATAAAAGCAGATGTTTTTGGATAAAACCAGATGTTTACGGATAAATGCAGATGTTTGCGGATAACATCAGATGTTTGCAGATAAAATTAGATGTTTGCGGATAAAAGCAGATATTTGCAGATTAAAATAGATGTTTGCGGATAAAAGCAGATGTTTGGAGATTAAAACAGATGTTTGCGGATAAAAGCAGATGTTTGCGGATAAAAGCAGATGTTTGCGGATTAAAACAGATGTTTGTGGATTAAAATAGATGTTCGCGGATGAAAGTAGATCTTCACGTATAAAAGCAGATGTTTGTAGGTGAAATCGGATAAAGCAGACGTTTGCGGATTAAAGTAGATGTTTGCGGATAAAATCAGATAAAACCGGGTGAATGCAGATATAAACTCAAATACAGGTATTTGCGGATGAAAACAGATAAAAGCAGACATAGATCTAAATTGATAAAACCCGACGTTCGCGGATAATATTTATACCCGCAATTGCAGATAAAAACCGACATGCCGGGTAAAATCAGATATGTCGGATAAAAACAGATATAAATGGACATAAAACTAGCTTGGTTTTTTATCCGCAATCATCCGATATTACCCGTCTTTTTCAGCAGGGTATAGCCTGGGATATATCCCAAAGATCGAGTTTTAGAAGTGTTTCGAGTATTGGAAGAAGAGCTGGCACATGTGCATAATATCAATGGGGACTATTTTGAAGGCGACAACATTAATGTAGACGAATAAATAAATATTTGTTTCAAAAAACCAAAATTCCCGATATTTTCTGAACACACCTCGTAGATTAAATCTACATTTAACATTCAACTAAATTTAAGAAAAAAAGGTTTTATGAAAATTTCCAAGACATCCTAGGATTTCAATTAAAAAATTTTTGATTAATTTGATATTAATATTAAGCTTAATATTAATATCAAATTAATCAAAAATTTTTGAATTGAAATTATGTTGAAAATTAGTCTTTTATCAAGCAGGGCTGAACCCCAAAAAATTTAAGTTTAAATTGTGAAAAAATTTGACATTTTTTCCGAGAAAGTTACTCTATTGTTTTATAGATGTCGCTCTATACCTACAAATAATTAATTTAAATAATTTTTTAGATAATATTAAGTAGGTATTTGTATTAGAAGAAGTATAGTAAATCGTGATTAAAATGTTGTTTATCAAACTTGTTACATAATATACTTTTATGATTTTTACTTTACATTTTAAAACAAAAAGTTTTGTTAATGAAAGGATTACAAGTCTTGTAATAATAGTTATTTATGTCATTAGGTTAAGAAGTAAGGCTTTTTGTGCTAAGCTCAAAGTTTGAAGGCCGACGCGTAGCGGAGGCCTACAATTGAGCGAAGCACAAAAAGACACTTCTTGGCCGAATGGCATACAACATTTTATCTTCAAAGCTCTTTATATAGGTCAATTTAATTCAACATGAAAGCGGCCTAACCTCACTTTTTTGAATCTCATTTATTTATTAGCTAAAGATTACATTAAATGTACAATAATTATTATTCCTTTTAGAAGCAGTAATAGTTTGACAATACCTAGCTACATGATTTAAGTAGAAATGGATTTTTGTAAGAAAATGGTTTACTTACCCTCTTGCTATTACATTGAATTCAATTAATTGTTTAATAAATAGGTATTTAATTTCAATTTGTTTGCATTTTTATATAAAAAAAATAGGTAGTTTGGAATGTTTACGCTGTGTTTAACATTTAATTTTGCTGAAAACTTAAAGCAAATTAAAATTTAAAGATAATTTAAATCGTAGAAAAAGAAAACACAACTGTGAAACGTCAAATTGCAATGTCCTAACCTCACTTTTTGTTTTATTATTCATATTTAATTTTACAATAATTTAATGAAAAATATTAAACATTATAATGTTATAACAGTAAAACAAACAAATTAGTGCTTATTATAAATAAATTAAACCAGTTTAGTACGTTAATTTCTTAGAAAAGGATTAATTTGTCAAAACAATACCCCTAGCGAGAAAAAATCGAACTAATTACTTGCCTCATAAAAATTTTTATCGGCCTAGGCCATAACAAGGTATTTCTTTATCGAATGTTGACAACAATAAAGTTTAAATTATAGACCGCGTGGAGATAAAATAAATTATGTACCCGCAGAGAATAATTGCTTCAACTATGCGACCGCACAATATATAATTATAATACATTTATATAAATTAAGTTAGACTGAATAAGGAAATAATTGAAGAATTCCATCTTTAATAAATAGGATTACTACCGTTACTTTATGGGTTTAAGCGCTGTTTTATTATTTATTAGTTGCTAGTTAGTTTGTTTTTTCCTTAACAAAAATAAACTTACCAGAATTCTGTCATAAAACTGTAGAAACGAATCAGACAGTTACTATAGTAAAAGAGTATACACAATTACCCAGTGAAACACAAATTCACTCGCATTAAAAAACACAAAAAAACTAAAATAAAACAAGATTTTTGTTCACACAACACAAAAGAACAACAACTTATTCATTGTTTTTGATAATGGCTGCCAAAATGACAAAACACGATCATCAAAACATGCGGAGTAACTAAACGCCACCTTCGATATTTCGTTTATTGGCATTTTTTAAATTATTACTTAATGCTTTTATTTTAACAGTATTTTCTTACTTAAAATAGAGTTTTTATTGTGTTTTTCGCGTTTTGAGGATATCAAATTTTTATTAATTATATAGGGATTAATATCCCTAATGGCTTAAGCATAACATTGCTGTGGCCGTTTTGCGCTTAACATTTCCTTAGGACTTAAATTGCGGTCTGGAACCAGAAGCAATTTATTTTCAGAATGTCAAAGTTGCTCCCAACACAATTTACGAAGTTTGCTTAACCAACTTCCCGGCCAAACTTCCACTTCTCTCTTGAATGTTCCTCATTTAGCGCAGCAAGTGACTTCAGATAGCTAATTTTACTAATTAACGAGTTTTAAGAAATATTAAGTATATGTTACTAAGCAATTAATACAATTATTAAAATAACCAATAAATAAACATGAAATAACGAATAAAAAAACATGAAATCTAGCGCAAAGAATCTTAAAACCGATAAAGAAGTTCTTTAAAATAACGAAAAAGTGTTTCAAACAAAAACAGAACATGTAGCGCCATCTATACAACACAAGTCCAACAATTTGAATCGGTGAGATCAAGAACAGTACAAGTCAAAAATTTAAATTGTTTACAAGTTATTTTATAAAATCATTTTTTTAGTTTAAAATAGTTAAATAGTTTAAAATAACGATATTTTGCAATATCATTTTGCAATTTTAGTTCAGCCATTTTTAGATAGACGACGCTATTTTTAAAAATTTGTAGGTAGGCCATCACCATAACAATTGGTCGTAAATTTATTGCCTATCTACAAAATATTGTTAGCAGCGTCATCTATCCAAATATAGATGAACTAAAATTGCAAAATTTTTGGTAGTGAAATTACTTTTAAAATATTAGTACCTACTTCGTTTTGTTTTTTTTTCCTTTTTTTAATTTAAATTGTACTAATACCAGAGATATCTCTGCTAATACTGCATTTTTTAAGCATTTTGTAAACATTGTTTACAAATGGTTGGCAACGCTGCTGTCAAACGTCAAAAATGTCATCAGGCAGTAAAATAAAAACAGAAGAAATAAAACATGAAGAAAACGCGGAGAAAATCGTGTTTAAACCGAAAAAAACGTAAGCAATTGAGGCAACGCATTAAAACGGACGAAGACGATGAGGAGGAGACCATAAGTGAGGTTAGGTAATGTTTTATTTACTTTTTGTTGTGTTGATTTTTTGACTGTTTGGGTTTGCTTTAGCACTAAATTGGAGGGTTTAAAGGAGTTGCAGAACTTGCGTAAACGCCCTAATGGAGTAAGCGTTGTGGGTTTGGCTTTGGGTAAAAAGATATCGCTGTCAGATGAAGTTACTTCGGTATGTTTATTAAAACCTGACACAGTTAAATGTTGACTATATAGTGTGTTTTTTTAGAAAGATCCGTATAAAATTCAGAGCGGGGGCATGGTTAACATGGACGCTCTGAAAAACGGGAAAGTTAAGCAAGTTGACGATGCATACGATACCGGCATAGGTACGCAGTTTTCAGCAGAAACAAATAAGAGAGACGAGGACGACGAAATGATGAAATTCATCGAGGATCAGCTGTCAAAACGCAAACAAAAGGGGGAGCAGAGTAGTGATACAGACGAACTAAATAAAAGTGCGTATTTGAGTCCCGAGGAGGCTGCTTTAAGGGCTGTTCCCGATCACTTGAGGGAATCGTCTACGAAAAGATCGGAGGAAATGTTGTCGAATCAGATGTTAAGTGGAATTCCCGAAGTTGATTTGGGGATTGAGGCTAAAATTAAGAACATTGAGGCTACAGAAGAGGCAAAGTTGAAATTAATATGGGACAGTAAGAATAAAAAGGATGGGCCTTCTCAGTTTGTTCCCACGAATATGGCGGTTAATTTTGTCCAGCATAACAGATGTAAGTTTTAATTTTCATTTTTTTTTAACTTTTGTTAATGTGTTCTATTTTTTAGTTAATATTGATCCAGCCGAAATAGCAAATAAAAAAGCAAAATTAGAGGCTGAGAAGGCAGAAAAAGCTAAGAAAAAGGAAGATAAAGCCACAGATGATTATCATTTTGAGAGATTTAAGAAACAATTTAGAAGATAATTTTAATATTTATTTTAGATTAAAAAAATAAAAAAAAACTCGAATTAGTTTTATTTTTATTTGTATACAAACCTTATGCAAACCACCAACAATTGTAAATTTTGGGAGGATGTCAAATAAAACGCAAATAATTGAACTTATTACTTTGCTTTATTTATAATAGGCAAGTCAAATAAAAAACTCTAATCAAGTACATAGAATAAAAGTATGTAGTTAATGCTTAATACACTGACTGATACGAAAAAATTAAAAACTATTTAACTTATATAAATTCTTCGGGTTCTCTTGGAGCATCCAAATCTCTGTAATGAATGATTGGCCTGAAATCACCGGGATTTCCCCTAATAAAAAAAACAAAGTTATTATTATTCCCAAAAATAATTACCATTTTTATTACCTTGTTCTCTGAGGATAACCCCTGGACCTCTGCGCAAATCCTTGGTTGTAGTATGGAGGGGGTCTACCATATCCTCCACCTCCATAAGAACCACCACCTCCATAGCTAAAGAAATAATACCAATGTTGGAGAAATTAAATCAATATATTTGCAGGGTAAATCCTAGATACAATTTAGCAATACAATAAATTTTGTATGTGGAGTTTTTTTGACAAACATTTCTTATAATACGCGATTTTTTGTGCTTTCAAAGTAATTTTTTATTTAGATTTTGTAAAATAGTCAATATCATCTCAAAATCTTTTTAACTCAAAAAAACTGATTTTGTGAATAGAAATTGGTGGTGAAAAAATAGGTAAAATATTTTTTCCACTCCCACCTTCATTGTACACGTTTCCATGACCCTATGTGACTTTTTAAATACACATTGATAAGATGTAGCTTTATGGCGTTTCAGTCACGGGCTGAAGTTAGTTTTAAGTCAGTTGACAGTTGTCAAATGTCATACAATCGTTAAAATAAAGTGCCCTTCTTTGCGAAATAATCCTAAATGTGAAAATTATTTTATTATCTCAATACAAAAGTAGTAAATAGTTTCTAGACGCCAATATTTTAAAAGATTATAATATAAATCAAAATGTCAGTACTAACGTTCATATTATGAACGTTAGTACTGACATTTTGATTTCGCCGTAGTAGTGCAGTTAACTATATTTAACTGATAAAGCGTTAAAAAATTTACATACAATGCCATAATACATTATCTTCTCTTTTACTGTGAAAAACTGCTTCTATATCGATTGTTAGTTCATTTTCAAGGGATAAATTGTGGTTTACACAGAAAAATTTGAGATTTGAGACTGCTTCTATATCGATTGTTAGTCCATTTTCAAGGGATAAATTGTGGTTTACACAGAAAAATTTGAGACTTTAACGCCGGTAGATTCCAAAGTTAGAAATTCTAAAGAAATTCCAATAAATACAACTGTCACTTATTGTACCTTCTACATTTCCCGTGTAAGAATTTTTAATACTTTGTGATAACATTTTGCAATTATAGTTATAAAAAGGATACAATATTTTCTTAAAATAATCAAATTTTGAAGTTATTTTAATATTTTAAAGTATCAATAATTGTTAAGTTTAATTAAAATAATAATGGGCATTGTTAATTGTGAAAATTACATCAAAAATGTTTGTTGGGATGGTTATTATTTTAAATTATGAATCTTGAGAATAAAATAGCGTTAAAAACGATAAATCCTATTTTTACGATAAAATCATGAAAGTGAATGAAGAAGCATTACCGCGTAAAATAATCGTATATAATAGTGGTAAGATTTTACCGATAAAATTTTTGATTTTTATACGAATTTTGCAAGTGGCATTATTTTTAAGACCACGAGCCGTTAGGCACAAAGATTCATTTTTAAACTATAAAAAACTGCTTTAGTGTATAGATTCGCGTTAAAAACGCTTTTTGGGACAGTAAAAAAATAAAATTAAAAGTGGTGGGAAAAATATGTAAAATACTTCAAAATAATATTTTTTACAAAAATGATTTTCGTGCTTTAAAACTAATTTTTGTTATAAAATTTTGGTACAACGTGTTTAGACAAATTAACATGAAGAATAATTATATTTTGTAAAATAGTTAATATCTTCTCACGAAAATTCATTTTTTAACAATAAAAAACGAGATTCTAGTTAAAAACGCTTGTTGGGGCAAAAAAACAAATTTTTACAAGAAAATTAAGATTAAAAAAGTGGTGGTAAAAATATACGTAAAATAATTCAAAATAAAATTCTTTCTGCTTGTAAAATATTCAAAATTTTTTTTTACAAAAATTAATTTTTAAACTATAAAAAACTGATTTTGTTTTTTTACAAAAAAAATAAGATTAAAAAAGTGGTGGTAAAAAAATATGTCAAATAATTAAAAATAATACGTTTTATTATAAAAACGATTTTTTGTGCTTTAAAACTAATTTTTTTAATAAAACTTTGGTACAACGTATTTAGATAAATTACTATGAATATTTTGTAAAATATTCAATATCTTTTCACAATAATTCATTTTTAAACTATAAAAAACTGATTTTGTGTATTTTTACAAAATATTGAAAATAAAAAAGTGGTGGTAAAAAAATTTTGCAATAAAACTTTGAATTAGAACGTGTTTGGATAAATTACTATAAAGAATAAATATATGAGAGCACCATAATGCAATTTTAAACTATAAAAAAAGATGGGTTTAGATAAATAACCATGAAGAACAATTAAATTTTGTAAAATAGTCAATATTTTTTTACAAAAATTCATGAGGCAATAAAACAAATTTTTACAAAAAAATTTAAATTAAACGTGGTGGGAAAAAATACGTAAATTTCATTAAAATAATATTTTTTACAAAAATGGTTTTTGGGCTTTAAAACTAATTTTTGTAATAAAATTTTGGTACAACGTGTTTAGACAAACTACCCTGAAGAAAAATTATATTTTGTAAAATATTTGATATCTTTTCACGAAAATTCAATTTTAAACAAAAAAACGCGATTCTAGTTACCTAATTTTTACAAGAAAATTAAGATTAAAAAAGTGGTGGTAAAAAATACGTAAAATAATTAAAAATAAAATTCTTTACAAAAATGATTTTTTCTGCTTGTAAAATATTCAATATTTTTTCACAAAAATTCATTTTTAAACTATAAAACTAACAAAAAAGTCAAGATTAAGAAAGTGGCGGTAAAAAATATGTCGAATAATTGAAAATAATACTTTTTACAAAAACGATTGTTTGTGCTTTAAAACTTTGGTACAACGTATTTAGATAAATTACTATGAATATTTTGTAAAATATTCAATATCTTTTCACAAAAATTTATTTTTAAACTATAAAAAACTGATTTTGTGTATTTTTACAAGAAAATTGAAAATAAAAAAGTGGTGGTAAAAAACTTAAAAATGTTGCAATTAAACGTGTTTGGATAAATTACCATGAAGAATAATTATATTTTGTAAAACTCTCACCAGAATGCAATTTTAAACTATAAAAAAAATGATTTTGTGAATAAAATCGAGTTAGAAACCATAAATCCAATTTTTACGATAAAATTGAAATTAAAAAAAGTGAAAGAGTAAGAAGACAAATCACATTTTTACAATAGTGAATGAAGAAGCATTACCAACATTTAAATAAAACTTTCAAATGTCTGAATACCTTCTTTAACCCTTTATAGGTTAATGGTCTCTATGTTAACCACATCCATTACAGCTTACTTAGAAATGAGTGAGAACCCAAACTTCGACCAAAGTACAAATAAATGAACTCATAATGTGCAGTGGTTATCATATTGACCACAATTAGTAACATTTGCAGTAATTGTTGCATAAGCATGTTTGTTTAACCTGACAACACACATAATTCAAAAGGTAATTGAACGCTTTATAACTTGTGAAAATAGTACTTGGAAAATAGGTTAGCGCTAACGAAATATTTAGATCATTTTGGAACATAACCTCTATCAAGCTCACAACCGTGAGACTATTGAATCCATGCCTATAAACATCCAGTATTTTTTGGTTTTTTGAAAAATTATATTCAAGAAAAATATTTTATCTAGTCGTTGGTATAACCGAAGATCAGGCTATGAATTCGGAGATTGAGGGCGATAGCGATGAGCATTTAATGCTTAATAGTTACACCAAGTTCTCTCATCAAGAGTCGCCAAGTAGGTACTTTTCGTCTGAATTCACCAAGTACATCTTCATGTTTACAAGTAACTTCCGCCAATACTTCAGCACGATCCAGCCTACGTAATCGTAGTGAGCGAACATCCAGTATACGTTTCATGAAACAGATTTTGAATAGATTTGAGGGTGAAAGTGACTCTGATGCAGATGTTCTTTCAGATGACTCAGTATCGCGATTACTCATCACATTCAGAGAAAACTACCAGTAGTAGGTCATTTTTGAAAATTGACCAGTGAAAATAAATATAAAAATATTCATCACAAAAATGCCACTGTAACTTAGTCACAAACACAAGAGTAGGTAGAATCAAAAAATGAAGAAACTTTGAGAAATTGAAATTTACTAAAACCGTTTCCAGATAAGAATAATGACACAGTTTTCAGTGAACAATTTGGAAATAAATATTTGATTTTTTACAGCATACACCATGTAATTATTTTACCTGTTCCTGAAACAAAATAAAAACTAAAATCCTTTCAGAAACGCAAAAAAACGATTAAATTAAATATGTGGTTCGCATGTAGTCCACCGCCCATCTATCATCTTATGGGCAGTGGTTTCCATTTAATCTACCATGATAAATTTAAAAAAAAAAAACAGTTGTATTTTCAAAATAATCATTAAAATAACTTAAGACATCCAAAATACGTAGGTCTTACCAAAAAAAAATTAAAAATAACAATTATTGGATTCTGCCCTATAAAGGGTTAAAAACACTTCATCACCGCGTAAATTAATCGAAACAAAAAACTCACTTTGGATGGCTGTAAGCCGGCGGCTCCTCCCTTTTGGGCGCGGGGGCCTCGACCAACATCGGCCGCTTGGGATCCTTCAGATAGCTGTTGAAAAACTCCACCTCCTTCTTCACCTCCTCGATCTTCTCGCCGTGCTTGTTGAAGATGTGCTTGCGCACGAAGTCCGGCCCCTTGAACTTCTTCCCCGATAACGGACACAGCCACTTGTCCTTGGCCAGCTCCCGCGTGTTCGCCTGCACGAAAGGTTGGGACAGTTGAAATTTTCAAATGAAAAAGTTTCAAACTTGAAATATTTCATTTAGTTGGAAAAGAGAAATTTTTAAAAATTTCAAATGAAATTTTCAATCCGAAAATTTCAACATTGCCTGTGAAAGTTTCCAGGGCTCCCACGGTTAAATTACAAATTTTATTTAGGAATTTAGGAGGTTTTTTGGAGAATTTTATGAGAAATAAAGTATGCAAATGAATTTATTTAATTAAATAAAACAACTCTACACTATACATAAAAAAGTAATTCTTTTTAACAAAAATATAAATAAATATCACTTCTTTTGTAAAAATAGGTTATATTGACTAGTTTTTTAGCCAAATCGCTTGACGAGTTTTTTTTTAATAAAATGAAAAGTGAGGTAAAATTACTACTTTTGCATATATTTAAGGTATATACACAAGTAGAAATTTCACCACACTTTTAATTTTATTTTAAAAAAAGCGTCGATAGATATGGCTAAAAAAGTAGGCCAAAGTTTAATGATGTTATATTTATATTTTGAAAAAAAATAATTTTTAGTAAATAACCAACAATAATTGTAATGTTATTGTTACTAAAAAATCTCATAATAGAAAAAATATAAAGTGCATGATACAGCAAAACATTCTTTAAAAGAAAATTAAAAATCCTTTTGTTTGATATATAACACGGTATATTTTTGTCGAAAATTAACGAAATATGGCTAAAAAAGACAATTTTATAGAAGTCTAGAAGCTACTACATGGATTTTGTTTTATGGTATATTTTTTTTTTAAGAAAAATGTAGGTTGTGATACTTATATCATTTTAAAATGAATTTAATAAACTAGAACCCAAAATATATATTTTTTAAATTACTTTTTGAAAAGAAATTTTTTGTTAAAGTTGGCCTACTTATATTTAATTTTTAGGAGTTTTAGGAGATTGATGGCAATATTAGGAGAATTTTAGGAGTTTTTAAGATTTAAGCCAAATTTTAGGAATTTTATGAATTTTAGGAGGTGTGGGAGCCCTGAGTTTCAGAAATTTCATTGAAAGTTTCGCAATTTACTGAAAATTTCGCATAAATTTCACATGCGGCCTCCCCTGGGACCTTTAATAATAATTTACAACAGATTCCGAATCGACCAATAAGAACGAGTTATCAAGCGTCTGGGCGTTTTTGTCTAGTTCGGCTTGGATTTGAATACACTATAAGTAATTATTGTTACTTATATGCATAAATTAATTTAAATAATTTAATTCAGTTACCAATTTAATTTGTAAATTAAATCAGACTTTAAATTTTTTTTAAAAGTCATGATTAATTTAAACTTTTACTTTTGCTATAATTGCATCGGAAAACGGATAAAAAATGCCTTTGGCTCATAAAATTTTGATGAAGTTTTTTCAATTTTCGTAAATTTTCAGTAAAATATTTAAAAATAATAAATATATATATAAATATAAAACAATGAAATTGGCACAATCTCATTAGCTTACCAAAAAGTGCTATATCTCTTTTAGTTTTAGTAATTTTAAAAATATTTTAAAAGGAAATCTCAAGAAATTTGTGGTAAACATAGGTATTTACTATTTGCAATTTGCCATGGTCCCCGAGTGGGCTTATTTCAATATTAATATATTACACATAAAGTGATTGAAATTTATTGAAAGTTTCAATAAATTTCATGATATTTCAGAAATTTATGAAATTTTAATAAATTTCGGTCGATAATTTTTGAAACCAAAAAAAAATAACAGTAGGATGAAACCCATTGGAAAAGGAGAAGAATATAATAAAAATGAAATGAAAAATAAATTACGGGCGATCTGAGTTCGCGAAGTGGGAGGGGGGGGTTTTAAGGGTAAAAAATGGTTTATCTCGATTTCCGGCAAAACTACAAGTCCTATGGAAAAAAGTTAAATGGCAAAGTTGTAGGTAATAAAAGGATCTACAACTTTTGTAATTACAATTTTTTACATAACCTTAAAATTTATGTGAAAAATTCAAAAAACCAAGTTTTTGGTTTTTTATTTTTATCTTTTTCAAAAAAAAAATTTTTCCACGAAATTTGGTGAAAACTTACCTTTTTATGTCCCAAATACACTGTAATTTATTTGATTTGAAATATTTATTATTTCGCCTTATTTTGACTTAATATTAAAAAAGCACCCTAATTTTCAATCGAAAATTCTCGCGTCAAAATATCAGCTTTTTTCAAAAAGTCGGTGTGCTTTTTGTTTGTTGAAATCTCTACTTTCTGATGGTGTAAAAAAATATACATTACTATGGTAAATGTTCTCAGAAAATGCAAAAAATATTATAATGAATAACGAAAAAAACTCGAATTCGAAAATTTATTTTAATCATTATGTACAATTTCATCAAAAAAATGTGATTGTTGCAATTTTTTTAGTTAAAAAGTTTATTTATTAAATTCTAATAACATTTATGTCAGAAAATCTCATAAAATAAATCATACTATTGAATTTAGAAACTTCATTCTGATTACGTTATTCATTATAATATTTTTTGTATTTTCTGAGAACATTTACCATAGTTATGTATATTTTTTTTACACCATCAGAAAGTAGAGAGTTCATCGAACAAAAAGCACACCGACTTTTTGAAAAAAGCTGATATTTTGACGCGAGAATTTTCGATTGAAAATTAGGGTGCTTTTTTGATATTAAGTCAAAATAAGGCGAAATAATAAATATTTCAAATCAAATAAATTACAGTGCATTTGGGACATAAAAAGGTGAGTTTTCACCAAATTTCGTGGAAAAATTTTTTTTTTTGAAAAAGATAAAAATAAAAAACCAAAAACTTGGTTTTTTGAATTTTTCACATAAATTTTGAGGTTATGTGAAAAAATTGTAAATACAAAAGTTGTAGATCTTTTTATTACCTACAACTTTGACATTTAACTTTTTTCCACAGGACTTGTAGTTTTGCCGGAAATCGAGATAAACCATTTTTTACCCTTAAAACCCCCCCCTTCCACTTCCCGAACTCAAATCGCCCGTAATTTATTTTTCCTTTAATTTTTATTATATTCCCCTCCTTTTCCAATGGGTTCCATCCTACTGTTATTTTTTTTCTCTTTTTACCATTTTTAAAGGCTTCTGCACACAGTGGTCCTCGACTAGCCATGAGTTGTATGAAAATGGTGCCAAAAAATGAGTTCGGATTTTGATAGGTATATCTATAAGCATTGCAAAAATTCATCAAGTAAAATCGTAACTGATCATTAACTTATTTTATGGATGTAACAATTTTGCATTTTTACATAGCCTTTAGATTCCTAAAATTTTAAAAAAGTACTTTTTATTTTTACAGTGAAAAAAGGTTTTTGACGAAAACAAATTCACATATACTCAATATTTGTTACAAATGTCTAGAGGAGAACTCATGAGTTCTGTGTTGTTGCAACAACACCTTTTTTTAACTGGATTTGATAGCAAGGATCTTGTAAGAGATTTATTTTATATCGGTTCCAGTACTTGACAAACTCTCTATGAATAGATTCTCCTGCTTGCTCTGACCATAAACCAAGTCCACCTTCTTGAAGAAACTGCAAAGATTGAGTAAAATATTCCAAAATGAGGTGCAATTTAAGAGACTTTAAAAGCCCAGCTCTCTAAAAATGAATGAGTCAAAAATGACTAATTTAGTTATTAGTGGCTTTTTCACTTGAACCATGGTTAACCATGAATCCGAAAATGTCTTCAAAAGTTAAAAAAGTAGAACAGTTTTTGAGATATAGTCAATTTTCCATTTAATATGGAATTGACTATATCTCAAAAACTGCTAAACTTTCATAATTTTTTACGGTATTTTCGGATTCATGGAACAATTTTACATAATAATTGGCTTTTAAATTTTGGAATACCATGGCGACAAGTATTGCAGATGGAAATTGAAATTGGGAACTTAGGATTCTGTAATTAAAAATTTCGACGATTTTGTATTAGCCATAATAATTTTCTGCCCACATGCTGTTATGCTCATGGTTGCTTACAATTTCAATAGGGTTCATTTTATCATAAAAGTAACAATAAAACCGACACAAATTATTAGATTTGTGTTTTAAGGCAAACAGTAACTGACAACCCTAGACCAAACCTAGGCTGACAACTGACAAGTTAATCAATTATTTCAGTGCCAACTTATCAATGAACCTATATGTCAACTTTTGTGACCTCCAATTATGTGCCAATTATTGAAATTAATCTAAAACAATGGTCAAATGTAAACATAAATAAAAGTATCACAAAAACAAATTTTTATGATCAGCTATGATTTGACTTGCAGCGTTTTTGTAACCTTGATATACATGCCTACTAATATCTGAACCTATTTTTTGGCGCCATTTTCATAAAAGCCATGGCTAGTCGAGGACCACTGTGTGCACTGGTCTATACAAGCAAAAAGTGAAATTTTCCCAACCCTACCTGCACGAACTTGTCCACCTCGGCGTCCACGTCCTTCAGCGACAAAGCCACGAGCTTGGCCTCGTTGGAGGTGCTCTCCGCGCTGGCCGCCTTCTCGGGCAGGAAGGCGGCCATCTTGCTCTCGACGGCGGCGCCAGTGAACTGCGTCACGTCCGTCTTGGAGGCGGGCGGCGGGCCGCGCGCGTGCAGGATGCCGCAGCGATTGGGCATCTCGTCCTCGTTCGGGTACTCGCAGTGGTTGTAGTAGTCGACCGAGTGCACGATGCGCAGGTACAGGAGGATCTTGTCGAGGACCGCGATCAGGGATTCGTCCCTCTCGACCGTGGAGGTCGAGTCGAGGTTCTCCGACGAGGGTTCGATGCCGAGGAGTTCCTCCTCTTCGGCGGACGCCTCCTCGATCAGGTAGTCGGTTATGTTGTGTAACACGGGGTTGTTCGATACCAGACCGAAGGTCTACAAAATATATACAGACTGTATAGAATCAAGTAAGTAAGGCTGGAGACAAGGATGACAAATTATATTCTGATCAGAGAAAAAGAAACAAACTTTAATTGGGCGTGGTTTAAACCAAGCCATTCGTAATTACGAACCATAGTTGCCAGGTTGTTTTAAATCAGAAGAGAACGATTATAATTATTTAATAAATAGTTCAATTTTATTTGTTTGAAACTTAAAAAATAACAAAAAAATTAATATGTCAAAAATAATTTGATTTAGTTAATTTTCTTACTTTTAATATTAAAAAATAAGAAAAACAACCCTTTTAGGAAACAATAATAGCATATGGCAACAGCGCGGCATGCAGCCAGATACAAGGGCATGCAGTTTAATCTACTGTGTTTGTTCAGTAGTTCCGACGCTGTCGTAGGGAAATGTGTATAGTTTTTAAGAAATACATTTTCGCCATTAACTGTAATTTAATGTATTTTAAACATTTTTATTTGCAGAAATGCATTAAAACAAAACAAACGAATTCGATAAAAATAAAACCTATAAATTCTCAATCCCTACCACAGTGGGCGGGGTTTGGCACTTGTTTTATTTAAGTGTATCCATTCGTTTTAATACACACTATAATTCACGTTACCGATTTAAGGGGCTTAAGAAGTTGGAAGCTAGTTTTTTAGCGTCAAAACAGTCACGTGTAGGGTTTTAAAATGTCGGAAAAATTGGGGAAAAAACTGTTGTTTTTTGTTTCTTTCCCAGGTTTTGGAAAAATTGTCTTTTAGGGAAAAATTGATTTTTTGGGAAACATACGCATTTGAAAAAGTGGCAATCAAGAACTTAACAATATTTTAATTTAAAAAAAATATCCTTACAAGAAAAAACTAAACATTAAATTAAATTAAATTGATTTAAGAAAATAAACATAAACGTTAAATGCATCGGTAAGATCAAGAACAGTACAAGTCTAAAATTGAAATTGTTTACAAGTTATTTTATAAAATCATTTTTTTAGTTTAAAATTAATTTTTTTGAAAATATTTTAACTATTTTATTAAATATAATAAGCATTCTCACAAAAATGCATTTTAAACTATAAAAATAATTTGTCAAAATTTTGAACTTTTACTGTTCTTGAACTGCAAAAAGAAGTCCATTGAAAACATCCAAAAAAATATAATTTTATAACTCGAAGTTTCAAATAAAACGAAAGTTATGTTAATATAGCCACAATTGACACAACAAGGTCTGTTCCATCTCATACTAATATATTATAATACTAAAAATCACTGCAACACTGCACATAGTTTAACGGCGGCCATTTTTGTTGTTTACAATTCTTGTGCTTTGGGTTTCTGCTCAGTTTATACAGATTAATAATCGTTTTAAATGTTGCGTTTCTTACAGAGGCACTTGTAAGCCTCAAATGAGGCCTAAAAGTGCCAATGACAACCATTTTACTCCTCTATTGTAAAAAATAAACCTTATTCTATCAGGGCTGTCCTCAAACTGTCAAATGTTTTAGCACTTAAGACAAGTGTCTCTGTAAGAAACAGGCTTACAAGTGCCCCTGTAAGAAACACAACGTTTAAAACGATTATTAATCTGTATAAACTGCACAAGCACAAAAATTGTAAACAATAAAAATGGCCGCCGTTAAACTCTGTGCAGTGTTGCAATGATTTTTAGTATTTTTAGTACGAGATAGAATAGACCTTGTTGTGTGGATTGTGAATATAGCACCGAATATGTTTTTTTGCAACCCGGTAGAATATTTTTACTGAATTAAAATAAAAGAAATAACTATTATAATCATAATATTGTGATTATATTCAGCGTCGAAAATTCACTTTTTTCTCGATATCAGTGTATGTATTTGTAAAAATTTGAAAATTTTCAGAAAAATTGACTTTTGCATCCTTTTCCTATTACCCTTCAAATAAAATAAAAAGTAAATTTTTCCGAAAATTTCCTATTTTTCCCGAAAAAAAAACCGGTTTTTTCCGCCGGCTCAATTTTGCACCAAAAAGATTGTTAAATTAAGAAATTATATTATTACGTTTTTAAAATAAAATTAAATAAAAATGCCCTCAAGAATTTTTAAAATAAAATTTTGTTGATTCTAGAAAGGGATTTTTTTGTTTTTTTCCAAGATATTCTGTTTGTGAAAGTTTTTAAATAAAAAATATTATATTTCAATTTCAATTTCTATAGGGTATATCTTGTATCTACGTAATATTGAAAAAAAATTGCGTAGGTAATTTCAGGTCTTTTAAAATGGCACTTGAAAATTGAAAACAATTTAGCGGTTCTTAAATAATAAAAAAAAAACTGAAAACATGCCAAAATCAATTTTTTTTAGTTTTGACAGGTTTTTAGTTTCCTTGTAGCTCGTCAAATAAAAAATACCACCCTGTATAAAATAGGAAATAAATAAACAAAACTTTTTTGCCAATTATTTTTTATATAATTTAACTTCAGTTGCATTATGCTCTTAAGAATTTTTAAAATAAAATTTTGTTGATTGTAGAAAGTTGTTCAGGAATATTTTTGTTTTTTCCAAGACATTCTGTTTGTGAAGGTTTTTAAATAAAAAAATATTATATTTAAGAACATTTTCCCAGTCAATTTCTATAGGGTATTTCTTGTATCAATATATGGGTATATTTTTTATTTGAAGAGCTACCAATTTTTGGTTTTGATAGGTTTTGTTTTTTTCAAATTATTTAAGAACCGCTATATTTTTTCAAGTGACATTTTAAAGGACCTGAAATTACGCAATTTCTCCCCATTATTTAAAATCACACTTGAAAATTAAAAAAAAACTTGCGGTTCTTAAATAATTCGAAAAAAACTGAAAACCTCTCAAAACCAAAAATTTTTGGTTTTGACAGGTTTTTAGTTAAAAAAAATACCACCCTGTATAAAATAGGAAATGAATAAAAAAACCATTTTCAATAAAATAATTTTCCAATGAATTTTTAGTTTTTTAATTTACTCACCGGTTGCTGTTTTTCCTTCTTATCCTCCTCCAGCCACAACCCGTTCTTATTATCCAAATGCAGTGTGACTTTAGCGGAAATCCTTATGTCCGACCTGACCACATTTTTATGCGCACTAATACCGTTCACAGGCCTGATTCTCCTGCTCAAATCCCTGTTCACGATGGCGCCCAACTCGCACTCCCTCAACCTAAGAAAACAGTTTTTACGTCATCAAACAAACCGCAATCTAACGTCCATCTAACGCATAGAAATAATATTAATATCACGGTGCTGTTCTGAGAGGTGATTTTTGGACTTTCTGTGAAACCTAATTTTTTTTTATATTCTTGTTAATTAGGTCATAACTAAAATTTTAAGAACAAAATAAAAAAAAATTGACGGTTAATTTTGTTTTAATTGGATGTTTATTAAAAATATGTATGCACACTTTCAATTCTCCAATTAAAACTTGCGATTTTATTTAAATATTATCAAAACTTTTTAAATCAGATTAAAGATTAGTTAATTTCCTAAAAAAAGGTCGATACATTTTTTATATCTTTTACTGTTTTGTTGTAATACACGTTTAAAGTTTTAATTTAAGGTTAAATGTATAGTATACATTTATTAAACAATAATTCTAAGGGTGCCACATTTTATTTAGGGCCGATTTATTCATTTTTGATTTTTTTGACGAATAATTTGTTTGGATACTAGATATTGCCAAGACTTGAAAGTTATCGGCCCGATAAACTTTACTAAAGATGAATAAACCGGTCCTTAGTTAAATTTCATGAATTTCTTCGTAACTTTTACTACAATTTTTCATTTTTGTTTATAAAAAACACTTTAAAAAACTAAACAAAAATTATAGATTACGTATACCGAAAATGACAATTCAAACGTCAAATAAATTTTTAATAGATCTAAGTTTCATGGCAACCTTTAAGGATGTATTAATTAAGGGAACATAAATGTATACGTCAAAGGTTAGATTAAAAGTTTGAACGTTTATTGCAACAAAACAGTAAAATATATAAAAAAAATTGTAAAAACTTTTTTTTTAGTTATGCAAATATTAAATATTTAAATTAAATCGCTAGTTTTAATTGGATAATTGAAAGAGTGCATAATATTTTTAATAAACAGCCAATTAAAACAATTCAAACCGTCAATTTTTTTTTATTTTGCTCTTAAAATTTTAGTTATGACCTAATTAACAAGAATATAAAAAAATTAGGTTTCACAGAAAGTCCAAAAATCACCTCTCAGAACAGCACCGTGATATATATAATATTAATATAATATAGTATTATTTCTATGATCTAACGTCTACCTGATGTTGTTCAAGTTCCAGCAGATCTCCTTGATGTTGGCCTCGCGCTTGAACGTGACCCAGCCGCGCCTTAGCCAGCGGCGGTCCGGCTGGGGGTCGGCCAGGGCCACGCGCAGGAAGCCCTCGTAACGCGCGCACATGGCCTCCACCTCCTGTTTGGTTATGGTGGGCGAGAGGTTGCGCAGAAATATCGACGTCGTCTTGTGCAGCGACTTCGGTTTTTCCGGTTTGTCGTCCTCTATCGTCTCGATCTTTTCCTCCTCTTTGTCTTCCTGCTAAATATTTATGTTTTTTGTCACGCAAGATGGGGACAACATTTGGGTACTTTTTGAATCACTTTTTGCCATAGTTTGCTTATTATTGAAGAAAAAGACACCGAAATATCTTTTGAAACGTCTTTAATTAATTTTATCTCCACGCGGTCTATAATTTAAACTTTGTTGTTGTCAACATTCGATAAAGAAATAGGTTGTTATGGCCTAGGCCGATAAAAATTTTTATGAGGCAAGTAATTAGTTCGATTTTTTCTCGCTAGGGGTATTGTTTTGACAAATTAATCATTTTCTAAGAAATTTAAATTATCTTTAAGTTTTAATTTGCTTTAAGTTTTCAGTGAAATTAAATGTTAAACACAGCTAAAACATTCCAAACTACCTATTTTTTAAATAAAAATCCAAACAAATTGAAATTAGATATCTAACTATTTATTAAACAATTAATTAAATTCAATGTAATAGCAAAAATCCATTTCTGCTTCTAAAAGCAATAATAATTATTATTATTATAATTATAAATATTGTTCATTTAATGTAATCTTTAGCTAATAAATAAATGAGATTCTAAAAAAGTGAGGTTAGGCCGCTTTGATGTTGAATTAAATTGACCTATATAAAGTGCTTTGAAGATAAAATGTTGTATGCCATTCGGCCAAGAAGTGCCTTTTTGTGCTTCGCTCAATTGTAGGCCTCCGCTACGCGTCGGCCTTCAAACCTTGAGCTTAGCACAAAAAGCCTTACTTCTTAACCTAATAACATAAATAACTATTAATGCATCTTTTACTAACATTTAAATAAGCAGCTGCTTTACTCAAGGACCAATTTTCTTCAAACTTTGTTCTCATGTCGTCAATTTAATTTTTTAATAAAAAAGTGTTACTGTTATTTTATTTAATTTCTTTTAAACATTTATTAATTAAATTTTAATGTCCAGACTGCAAAATGATATTAATTAAAGTAATATTTTTCTGTTCTTTAAATTCTTTTTGTCACGCTGCTGGAAAAAGGCAGATTTAAGTATGTAAGACATTCTAAAATGTGTTTTTGAGATTTTAAAGTATGTGTAAAAATCGAAAGTATGTATGACATATTAAAATGTGTTTTTGACATTATAAAGTATGTCTGAAACTCAAAGGTATGTTTGACATTCTAAAGTATACCCGACACTCCAAAAAGGGGTATTGACATTTTAAAGTATGTATGAACTCAAAAGTATGTTTCACATTCTAAAAAGTATTTTTGAGATTCCAAAGTATACTTAGACATATATGTCTAGAACTCAAAAGTATTTTTTCCAGACTTCCAAGAATTAATTTCTTTTAAGAAATCTATGACACCCAAAAATCGTTCACATTTGGATGTCGTCAACCGTACATTTGATTTTAATTTAATTTTTTTTTACAGGAAACTCATTTTTTAAACAAGCAGGGGCTGAGGGGAACCAGCATCATAATTAACAATTTTAAATACTGGATTTTTCGGACGATTCCAGGCAGGGATAAAAAAATCAAGAAAAATGCAAAAAAATAAGCAAAATATAGAAAAAAAGTGAACCAAAAAGGTACCCAAACTTGAAACTGAAAAATCTTGAGAAAATAAAGTATGTATGACATTCTAAAATGTGTTTTTCACATTCTAGAGTCTACGAAACTTGAAAGTATGTCTGATATTCTAAAAAGTGTTTTTAACATATTAAAGTATGTTTTAAACTCGAAAGTATGTCTGACATTCTAAAAAGTATTTTGAAATTTTAAAAAGTGTTTTTGACATTCCAAAGTATAACTGAAACATACTTTTATGTCTGACATTTTAAAAAGTATTTTTGACATTCTAAAAAGGGTTTTTGACATTCTTAAGTATGTCTGAAACCCCAAATGAAATTCTAAAGTTATCTGAAACTCAAAAGTATGTTTGACATTCTAAGAAGTGTTTTTGACATTCTTAAGAATGTCTGAAACTCCAAAAAGTGTTTTTGACATTCTAAAATGTGTTTTTGACATTATAAAGTATGTCTAAAACTCAAAAGTATGTTTGACATTCTAAAAAGTGTTTTTGACATTCTTAAGTATGTCTGAAACGAGCTAACCTAGAAAAACTACATACACCACCAAATTCTATAGCTGAAAATTAGGTTTTTTTGTATCTTTTGTTGACAAAACTTTTAAAGTTATTTTAATAAATTTCAACAATTTTCCACGTTTTCTTAAATTTTCATGATGTCTTAATTTTTACTATCTTCAAAAAAAAAATTAAAAAATATGTAAGTTAAAATGTTCCTACCTTTTCTGATTTTTTCTCATCTTCAGCCCCTTTCTCCCCCTCATCCTCCTTACTCTCCTTTTTCTCCTCATCTTCATCTTTCTTTTCTCCCTCCTCATCACTACTACTCGAGGAAGAAGAAGACGAACTGCTTCCGGAATACGAACGCTTGCGTTTTACTTTCTCCTTCTTCTTCTTTTCCGATTTCTCCTTATCCTCCCCCTCTTCCTCTTTATCTTCTTTCTTCTTCTCCTCCTCCTCCTCCTCCTCGACTTCCTCCTCTTTATCCGACGATTTGTTTTCCACCTTTTCTTCGTCTTTGTCAACGGCTTCCTCCTCTTTGTCTTTTTCGCCGTTCTCTTCCTTCTCCTTCTCAACTTCCATTTTTTCTTCGTCCTCTTTTTCCTTCTCTTCGGAAGCTTCCACTTCTTTTTTTTCTTCCTCTTTTTCTTCTTCGTTTTCCTCGCCTTCTACTTTGTCTGTGCTCTTGTCTATTTCCCCGTCGTCTTCTTCGTCGTGCTTGGAAGAATCTTCTCCGTTCGTTTTTCCCTGTTCTTCCGACGTTTTTTCCTCCTTTTTCTCGTCCTCCTCTTTTTTTAAAGCCGCCTGCTTTTCGGCCTTCTCTTTGTCCGACTCCTCTTTGGCTTTTTGTTCCTTGTATTTTTCCTCCATCTCTGCAAAATACATTCAGTTTTCCTTCAAGCTTCAGTTGTCGTTATTTACCTGTATATTCTTTTTCCAACAAAGCCAAATCCTCGTCCGTGCCACCTTCAAGTTTTATGACGACAGTGTCCAACAATTTCAACAGTTCCGTGGTTTTTGGACAGTCGATTGTGACTTTTTCTATGGACCCGGAATTGAGCAGGTCCATGAATACCTCAAGCCTTTTCTGAAAGGTGAAAAATAGAAACACGATTTTTTTGTTCGCCATAATTTTATACCTTCATCGAAGCAGCTTGCTCTTCCTTGCGCTTTATAGAATCTTCAGGATGATATTTAACCCGGAACCTACAGAGAAAGATAAACATTTCCCGTGTAGTTTGTTATTTGAAGTTATATTGTACTTTAAGGCATTCACACGACTTTCTCACAACCACGGTACACAAAAACCGGTATGCTGGTTATAAAACGAAAACTCGTCGACTCCGCGCATGTGACGTCACGTGCGATCCCTAAACTAACATAAAAATTTTCAATTTCCAAAAAATAAAGATCTGGCAGCACAGTGGATGAATGCATGCAAGATAAAGGGTAAAATGAAAATAAAAAACAGTAAGTAAAAGCAATTTTCGGTATACCCAATTTTCTTTTAGGTACTTACAGTAACTTTTCACCCTTACCACATATTTTTTACAAATTGCTTACTAATAATAAAAATTAAAACACAATTGTATCGAAAACCCGCTTCAAGAGTGTCACAAGTAAAAAAGCAGTTTTGAGTAAATTTTTACTTTTGCCACTTTAAAGATGGCGTGCGTTATTATTTCCTGTGTAAATGCATTTTTATAATTTTGTTACCTTTCACATTAAAAAAAATGTAAAATTCGTTCTAGCTTAAGTTAAGTTAATTCAATTAAATAAAAAATATTTTGAAAAATAATAATAGGGAGGTATGAAATTAATTGTTGCTTAAAATATGTTACATTAGTATTAAAAGCGCTTGATGCCAATTAAGCTTTCTCTTAACATTTGTTACACTTAAAAATTCTAAATTACAAATTTTATTTAGGAATTTAGGAGTTTTTTTTATAAAATTTTAGGAGAAATAAAGTATTCAAATTAATTTTTGTAATGAAATAAAAACAACTCTACACAGTACTTAAAAAATAAATTTTAACAAAAATATAAATAAATATCACTTCTTTTGTACAAATAGGTTACATTGACTAGTTTTTTAGCCAAATCGCTCTACGAGTTTTTTTTAATAAAATTAAAAGTGAGGTAAAACTACTTTTTGCATATATCTAAAGTTTATACACAAGTAGAAATTTCAACACACTTTTAGTTTTATTTAAAAAAAAACGCGTCGATAGATATGGCTAAAAGCCTAGGCCAAAGTCAAATGATGTTATATTTATATTTTGAGAATTTTTTTTTTTAACCTTTTAGTTAATAACTACAATAATTGTAATATGGATCTTGTTACTTAAAAATCTCATAATAAAAAAAAATATAAAGTTTGCATAATACAGCACAACATTCTTTAGATTGTTTACTATTTTAGCTTTAAAAGAAAATTAAAAATTATTTTGTTTGATAACACGGTATATTTTTGTCGAATACAAACGAAATATGGCTAAAAATGACAATTTTGTTGAAGTCTAGGAGCTACTACATGGTTTTTGTATTTTAGGTATATTTTGTTGTTTTTTAAGAAAAAAGTAGGTCGTGATTTATCATTTTAAAAATAGTTTAATAAACTAAAAATATATATATTTTTTAAATTACTTTTTAAAAAAGAATTTTTTTAGAATGACAACTCAGTCAGGTTGGCCTATTTATATTTAATTTTTAGGAGTTTTAGGAGATTGATGGCAATTTTAGGAGTTTTTAAGATTTAAGCCAAATTTTAGGAATTTTATGAGTTTTAGGTGTGGGAGCCCTGATATTTATAAATTTTCGAACATAACGTGAATTTGCAATGCAAATAATATTCTAAAGTATGTCTGAAATTCTAAAAAGTATTAAGACATTCTAAATTATGCCCACCATCATTCTAAAAAGTGTTTTTGACATTCTTAAGTATCTCTGAATATATGTCCGAAACTCCAAAAAGTGTTCTCAACATTCTAAAATGTGTTTTTCCCGCATTCTAAAAAGTGTTCTTGACATTCTAAAATGTGTTTTTGTTAAAAAAATAAGCAAAATATAGAAAAAAAAGTGAACAAAAAAGTACCCAAACTTGAAACTGAAAAATCTTGAGAAAATAAAGTATGTATGACATTCTAAAATGTGTTTTTCGCATTCTAGAGTATATGAAACTCGAAAGTATGTCTGACATTCTAAAAAGTGTTTTTAACATATTAAAGTATGTTACCCACCAGCTTTTGGTTCGCACATGACGTCACACGGTGCGAGAGAGATAGCTATAGCATGCGCATCAGCATACCGGTTTTTGAGTATCGTGCTCACAACAATGACGTGCAGATAGAAAATTACAAAAAACGTTCTCATGGAATGATTTATTGGGACGAGAATTTAGGAAAAAATATCCCAGCAAACCTTCTTGAAACTGCGATTTTTTGTAATGATCAAAGAGAATGATTGAAAGATGGTAGAGATGAATTTCGTTCGTTCATTTGGAAAACCGAGGCGAAAACAGGTGTCGGTGAATTTTCGCCTCGGTTTTGCAACGTTCGCATCAGTCACACTTAAAAGTAAGGTTACAAAATATGGTACGTTTCTTTGTTTAAAAACGTGAATCTCACCTGTTGCGTCTTACGTATCAGTAAAAACCCTAACGAATAAACGCGGAAAGCTTGTGCATTGCGCGCACAGCTTTATTTTAGTCAACGAACGGTTGTTTTTCATTTTGTGTTACTTATTTTTGTTATACGTATTTAAACTTCGCGCGCTGTTTCACACACAAAACACATATTTATATTTTTTAGGTAGTTTTCGGGAAGTCTCGACTCATTGTCTCTGTAGAGAAAAAGGTTTTTAAAATATAACATAATTGGGTATATAAGTACTTTAAAATAAACAAAAATTATTTTTTTTGTAAATTCAAGCCCTATCACTCAATTTTTATGACCTATGGAAAAACATCTAAATCAAGGTGTATGCAGCCCCATTTTTTTTTAATTGAACCAAAAGAAAAACCCACCACATACACCTTTATGTCCAACATTTATTTACAAACAGCCCGGTCATTTTTTAAGAATTGACGAAAAATTAGCACTTTTTTGTAAATACATAGGGTTATGAGTATTTACATTCTAAGTATGTCTGACATTCCAAATTGTTTTGGACACTCCAAAGTATGTATGACTCTAGAGTATCTTTGAAACTCGAAAGTATATATGACATTTTAAAATGTGTTTTTGACATTCTTAAGTATGTATGAAACTCAAAAGTATGTCTAACATTCTAAAAAGTGTTTTTAACATTCCAAAGTAGGTATGTCTAAATCATACTTTTATGTCTGACACTCCAAAAAGTGTTTTTGACATTCTAAAGTATGTCTAACATTCTAAAAAGTGTTTTTAACATCCCAAACTATGTCTAAAACATACTTTAATGTCTGACATTTTAAAGTATGTCTGAAATCCAAAAGTATGTCTGAAACTCCAAAAAGTGTTTTTGATATTCTAAAATGGGTTTTTTGACATTCTATAGTATATCTGAAACGTATAAAATTTTAAAATGTTTTATTTACATTCTAAAGTATGTCTGAAACTCTAAAGTATGTATAATATTCCAAAAGGTGTGCTTGACATTCTGAATTATGTCTGACACTCCAAAAAGTTTTTGAAATTCTAAAGTATTTTTGACATTTTTAAGTATGTCTGAAACTCAAAAGTATGTCTGAAACTCCAAAAAGTGTTTTTGTCTGAAACTTAAAAGTATGTCTAAAACTCCAAAGTGTTTTTGACAGTCCAGAGTATCTCTGAAACTCGAAAGTATGTATGACATTTTAAAATCTTTTTTTTACATTCTGTATGTCTAAATCATAATTTTATGTCTGACACTCCAAAAAGTGTTTTTGACATTCTAAAGTATGTCTAACATTCTAAAAAATGTTTTTAACATCCCAAACTATGTCTAAAACATACTTTAATGTCTGACATTTTAAAGTATGTCTGAAACCCAAAAGCATGTCCGACATTCCAAAAAGTGTTTTTGACATTCTTAAGTATGTCTGACACTCTAAATAGTATTTAGAGATTTTTAAAAGTGTTTTTGACATTCTAAAGTATTTTTGATATTCTTAAGTATATCTGAAACTCAAAATTATGTCTGAAACTCCAAAAAGTGTTTTTGACATTCTAAAATGTGTTTTTGACATTCTAGAGAATCTCTGAAATTCGAAAGTATGCTTAAAACATTTTAAAATGTGTTTTTAACATTCTAAAGTATGTCTGACTGTCAGACTCTGACATTCTAAAAAGTGCTTATGACATCCTAAAGTATGTTTGACTGTCAGACTCTGACATTCTAAAAAGTGCTTGCGACATCCTAAAGTATGTTTAAAACTCAAAAGTATGTCTGACACTCCAAAAAGTGTTTTGGACATTCTAAAATGTGTTTTTGACATTTCAAAATGTGTTTTGCCATTCTAGAGTATGTCTGAAACCCAAAAAATGTTTTTGACATTCTTAAGGATCTCTGAAACTCAAAAGTATGTCTAAAACTCCAAAAAGTGTTTTTGACATTCTAAAAAGTGTTTTTAGCATTCTAAAGTATGTATGACATTCTAATATCTATTTTTGACATTGTAGAGTATCTCTGAAACTCGAAATTATGTTTAAAATATTTTAAAACGTGTAACATTCTAAATAATATCTATTTTTGACATTGTAGAGTATCTCTGAAACTCGAAATTATGTTTAAAATATTTTAAAACGTGTAACATTCTAAAGTATGTCTGAAATTCCAAAAAGTGTTTTTGACAATTCTAAAATGTCTTTTTGACATTCTAGAGTATGTCTGAGACCCAAAAGTATGTCTGACACTAAAAAGTATTTTTTACATTCTTCAGTATCTCTAAAACTAAAAAAAAAATGGATTTTGACATTCTAAAGTATGCATGACATTCTAGAGTATCTTTGAAATTCAAAAGTATGTTAAAATGTGTTTTTAACATTCTAAAGTATGTCTGAAACTCCAAAAAGGGTTTTTGACATTCTAAAATGTGTTTTTAACATTCTCATCATAAGCATCTGACATTTTTTTTTTTTTTTTTAAGTTTATATACAAAAGTGCAAAGTTGGCTTATGGGACTTCTTAAGAAGTAAGGGTCGAACTAAAAGAGCATCTGACATTCTCAATATCTTTTTAAAATTTTAAAGTAGGTATGTCTGAAATTCCAAAATAGTACCAAATTAGAATGTGTAACTCTATATTAGGGTGTTTCAAAAAAATCGACTTTTTCTTTTTCTTCAAATGGTCGGCAAATTCTTTCAGAGGATGTCAACACAAAGACCTCGTCAAAATTTGAGCTTTTAATTTGAAGATTTAGAGGTCGCGGATCGCAATTTTCTATTTCCCATTTAAATAACATGGGAATTTTTTTTTTTAACTTTGAAATTTTATACGTCTGAATCAAATCAACTTATGTCAAGGATCATCTTAGATTTTCATAGTAAATTTAACGCTCTACAAAAAAGGTCTCCTATCATTTTTCTATAAATTGATTCCTTCCAGAGTTATTCGAGGCCAAAGTTTGATTTCCATCGAATTTTCGCGTTTTTTTAACATTTATGGTACAATTATCATTATACGGGTGTCCCGAAATCAGGGGGCCAAACTTAAACAGTGCATTATTCGTATAAAAATAACACTTTTTTTGTTTAATAAACATGTATCAAAAAATGCTCCCTAAAGGAGCTACGGCCCCCTGAATAGGAGCCTAAGAGGATAATTTTTTTTAAACTATTCCTAGAGGGTTGAACATGAACAAATGAATTTTCGGTAGGTACTTTGGTAATTTTGACATGCTGAATCTAGATCTATGATCAAAACTGTTAAAATTTAATCATAGGCGTAACATTTGGAGGGGGCAAAGTTACAAAAATAGCCCCAACTTTTTTCTGGGTTAATAATTTAATTTTTTTTATGAAATTATGAGAATTTATAGTTTTTTACGAAAAATAGGTACTCTTGATTTGAATTGCTCAGATGCACCATTTTCGAGAAAAATGCATTTATAAATAAATTACTTTGCATATTATACACATCTCATATTTTCATTAAAACTTTGTAGTAGGCTTTGGACAAAAGTGACGTTTTTTTGTTTTTTTTACAACACTTCCTATGTTTCAGATATAAATATGTGATTTTTTTACTACATGATGCTAAAAGTTGAAAAAACGAGAAAATTCGATGGAAATCAAACTTTGGACTCGAATAACTCTGGAAGAAATCAATTTATAGAAAAATTATAAGAGACATTTTTTATAGAGCGTTAAATTTACTATAAAAATCTAAGATGTTCCTTGCCATAAGTTGATTCGATATAGACGTATAAAATTCCAAAGTTAAAAAAAAAATTCCTATGTTATTTAAATGGGAAATAGAAAATTGCGATCCGCGACCTCTAAATCTTCAAATTAAAAGCTCAAATTTTAACGAGGTCTTTGTTTTGACATCCTCTGAAAGAATTTGCTGAACATTTAAAGAAAAAGAAAAAGTCGATTTTTTTGAAACACCCTACTCTATATCTTCAAAAGATTCTTAGTGGGGTACTTCATCACACTAGAAAAAACTTCCCAATGCTAATTTTTCGCGACCGGGCTGAAAAACCTCGCAAAAAAACTCTCGAGACTCACCATTCGTCGTCTTTGTGCGCGACAAAGAACTCGTTAAGCTGCTGCCGCTGAAACTCCAACTTGTAATCGTTGTACTTTTCGATGGCCTCCGAGTCCGAGATGTTGTCGTCCTGCGTGGCCAGGAAAGCTTTAAAAGACATCATCGGAGGCGGTTGGCCTTCGATGGCGGCGGGTGCCGCCGGTTCTCTGAAGAAATTAGCTCTTTGAAAAAAATAGAGGTTTAAGGTTAGAGACGTTAGTAATTAGCACGTTTTATTTGACACGTAACGATCTCTAAATCCATGCAAAATAATAGACATGCACAGCAAAAAATTGATTTGTTGCCATAATACTTATACAGGGGGGGTTGGTTTTGGCATTTTAAAAATACTTTTTAGAATGTTTAACGTTCTAAGATATGTGTTTGACGTTCTAAATCGTGTATTTGACACATTTTAAAAATATTCTTTTTTGTAAAATGCAAAAAATACACATGATGACATTTTAAGTATGTTTGAAACTCAAAAGTATGTTTGACATTCTAAAGTATGTCTGAAACTCAAAAGTATGTCTGATACTCCAAAATGTGTTTTTTACATTCTCTGAAACTAGAAAGTATGTATGACAATTTAAAATGTTTTTTTTTTACATTCTAAAGTATGCCTAAAACTCAAAAGTATGTCTCACATTCTAAAAAGTATATTGACAATCTAAAGTGTTTTTGACATCCTAAAGTAGGTTTAAAACTCAAAAGTATGTTTGACATTATAAAAAGTATTCTTAACATTCCAAAGTGCTTTTGACATTCTTAAGTATGTATGACATTCTTAAATGTGTTTTTGACATTCTAGAGTATCTTTAAAACTCGAAAGTATGTCTGACATTTTAAAAAGTGTTTTTGATATCCTAAAGTATGTTTAAAACTCAAAAGTATGTCCGACATACTTAAAAAGTATTTTTGACAATCTAAAAAGTGTTTTTGACATTCTTAAATATGTAGGACATTTAAAATGTATTTTTGACATTCTAGAGTATCTCTGAAGTATGTATGACATTTTAAAATGTTTTTTTGGCATTCTAAAGTATATCTGAAACTCAAAAGTATGTCTGACATTCTAAAAAGTGCTTTTGACATCCTAAAGTGTTTTTGACATTCCAAAGTATCTTTAAAACTCGAAAGTATGTCTGACATTCTAAAAAGTGTTTTTGACATCCTAAAGTATGTTTAAAACTCAAAAGTATGTCCGACATACTTAAAAAGTATTTTTGACATTCTCAAAAGTGTTTTTGACATTCTTAAGTATGTAGGACATTTAAAATGTATTTTTGACATTCTAGAGTATCTCTGAAGTATGTATGACATTTTAAAATGTTTTTTTGGCATTCCAAAGTATATCTGAAACTCAAAAGTATGTCTGACATTCTAAAAAGTGTTTTTGACATCCTAAAGTAGGTTTAAAACTCAAAAGTATGTTGGACATTCTAAAAAGTGTTTTTGACATTCCAAAGTACCAATGTCTGAAACATACTTTATGTCTGACATTTAAAAAAATATTTTTGACATTCTATAGTATATCTGAAACTTGAAGGTAAGTCTGACATTCTGAAAAGTATTTTGACATTCTAAAGTATGTCCGACATTTTAAAAAGTGTTTTTGACATCCTAAAGTATGTTTGACATTCTAAAAAGTATTTTTGACATTCTAAAGTGTTTTTGACATTCTAAAAAGTCTTTTTGACATTCTAAAGTGTTTTTGACATTCTAAAAAGTGTTTTTGACATCCTAAAGTATGTTTGACATTCTAAAAAGTATTTTTGACATTCTAAAAAGTATTTTTGACATTCTACAGTGTTTTTGACATTCTAAAAAGTGTTTTTGACATTCCAAAGTACCAATGTATGAAACATACTTTATGTCTGATATTTAAAAAAATATTTTTGACATTCTATAGTATCTCTGAAACTTGAAGGTAAGTCTGACATTCTGAAAAGTATGTCCGACATGCTAAAAAGTGTTTTTGACATCCTAAAGTATGTTTAACATTCTAAAAAGTATATTTTGACATTCTAAAAAGTGTTTTTGACATTCTAAAGTATGCCTGCAAAATAATAAAAATAATAGACATGCCCACTAAAAATTGGTTTGTTGCCATTATAGTTATACAGGTTGGTTTGTCGTTTTAAAAATAGTTTTTAGAATTTTTAACATCCTAAGATATGGGTTTGACGTTCTAAATCGTGTATTTGACTCATTTTAAAAATATTCTATTTTGTAAAATGCAAAAAATACAATTATGTAAAACCTTGTAATACAAAAAGAATTGCTGTAAAATATATTCTTCCCAAACCTTGTAAGCCATAACACCTTGTATAAGCAGGCAAATTCCTATTAAACTACTTAAATGAAATAAAAAAATTAGCATAATGAGTATGTACATACATAATTAGTAGTAACAAAAACAACAGTAAATAAAATACCTGTGCGCTGCCTGATGGTAGGGCGCGTAGTGGTTGTAGTAACTTTCGCCGTAATAATCGTGCCTCATTCTTTTGGCGGCCGGTTCCAACCCTGGAGAATAGCCTCGGTCGCGAATACCGCCGGCCCTGTACTCCCTTTGCCTTGGCCTTGACCAAGCCTCGCTAAAAATAACGAAAAATTAATATAGATATTATATTTTTTGACTGAGACTATTAAATGCTAGGCAAATAAATACAGTTCTGTATATAAACTTTAGTTCTATTTTTTTAATATTACAAATGAAGTGTTTTTGACATTCTAGAATATTTCTGAAACTCAGTATGACAGACATTCGAAAGTGTTTTTGACATTCTAAAGTATGTCTAACATTCTAAAAAGTATTTATGACATTCTAAAAAGTGTTTTTGACATTATTGAGTATGACTGAAATTCAAAAGTATGTCTGACACTCCAAAAAGTGTTTTTGACATTCTAAAGTAGGTATGTATGAAATTCTAAAATGTGTTTTTGACATTTTAAAGTATCTGTGAAAATCGAAAGTATGTATGACATTTTAAAATTTCTTTTTGACATTGTCTGACTCCAAAAAGTGTTTTTGACATTCTTAAGTTCCTATGTATGACATTCTAAAATGTGTTATTGACATTCTAACTTAAAAGTATGTACAGCGTTTTAAAATGTTTTTTTGACATTCAAAAGTATATATGTCTGACATTCTAAAAAGTATTTGACATTATTAAGTGTTTTTGACATTCTAAAGTATGTCTGACATTTTAAGACGTGTTTTTGACATTCCAGAGTATTTATAAAACTCAAAAATATGTAAAACATTTTAAAATGTTTTTTGACATTCTAAAGTAGGTAGGTCTTAACTCAAAAGTATGTCTGACATTCTAAAACGTGTTTTTGACATTTTTAAGTAAGTATGTTTGACATTCTAAAATGTGTTTTTGACATTCTAGAGTATTTATGAAACTAAGTATGTCCAAACTCAAAAATATGTCTCACATTCTAAAAAGTGTTTTTGACATTCTAAAGTATTTCTTAAACTCAAAAGTATGTCTGACAGTCTAAGAAGTCTAAAAATACCTCAAAATTAATATATTATATTTTTGACGGTGACTATTAAATACTGGGCAAATAAATACAGTTCAGTTATATAACGTCTACTATGCCCTTCAATTCCATTTTTTTAAATATAATAAATAGACTTCAAAAAGTCATCTTTGTAAAAAATAATAACAACATAATGTAATAAAAACATTTGATGTACATTTTAAGAATGTCATTTTTAATTTCAATTTTATTGTAAAAAGCGTCTAAACGCGATTTCTATTATATTTTTAATAGTATATTGTGCAACAAGTGGAGAAAATTATCGATTATGAAGTTCCATTCTTTACCACATATTAATTTGTTCCACAATCAAATAAAAATTAACAATTTTGTACAAATGATTTGTATTGTTGACACTGTCAACTTGACGGATAAGTGTTTTGTCCATTTTACCAACTTTGTAAAAAAATTAAAATAACTCCCAGTTAGTTTGGGCTATGGAATGTGAATTGATTATAAATAATTATATATTTTATTTGATAAAATATCTATCAAGAACTAAATATATGTTTAACTATTTTACATTTTATTTTCGATCTACTAAACCAAAAAATCAACACATAAAAAATTAAATAATACCCCAAAAATGAGAAAATTGCTTGTCTCTTTTGGTAGTGTTCTATCAACCTGGTCTCACCAAAGCACCACTGTGCAAATAATTATAGGTTATAAACTCACCGTTCAGGCCATTCTTCTCTGGGCCTTTGCACCCTTTCTGCACCCCTGTATGTGGCCTCAGCCCTTTCGCCCCTAAACTTATCGCGCCTTTTTCTATCGTACTCATCATCACTATCGGCCATATTTCCTAAAATTAAAACCCCAATTAGCAATTTACAGTTAGTGAACTTGTTTATAAAAATCGGTGCCATAGATGATGTTGAAAATAATCACAACACAAGCACAATAACACAATTCGGTTTAAACTTCACTTCTGATACTTACTTTTCGATTTTCTCGGTAGTAAAAGATAAAAATTGCGTTTAAAACGGTTTCAAATTCGGCACAGCGGCTTAATGCATTGATGGCGGACACGTCAAGGACGCCTAGGGATTCTAGGGAGTTTTTTGGCTCGATGTTGCCGGCTTGTCGGTGTTTACAAGAGCGCGAAACTTAAATATTATGATTTAAAAATTCGTGAATAATAATTATTTTTAATTACATATTGTAATCTTTTGATGGGGATGTTGTAATTATTAATGACTATACACAGTTAATTTTGTTAATATTGCTATTAATACCCATACCGGGTTAAAATATTAAGGTATTTATTTTTTCTTTAATTATTTGTTATTTGGAAGGATTTTAGAATTTACCTACCTTTATTTTTCCTTAATAAGTATGTCCTTATTTAGTAAGTATTATTGAATTACTAAATTAGTAGGTATCTAATTTAATTTTACCAAAACAATTAAAAAAAAGTTATTTTGCTTTATTTAAAATTTTATTAATATATTTAAAACCTAAGCAAAATTAATTTTGCTTATAAGTTTGTTTATTTTTTAATGAAACAATAATTATTTTTTATTTTGCCTTGATTAATTATTATCTTTCTTTGTTTTTCAAGTACAACAATATATTGATTAATTATAATTACAAATTTAAAAATTTTAATAATGTATAATGTATAATAAGTACCTATACTATAGTATAGGTACTTATTTAATTTAACAAACATTAATTAATTAATAATTATTTTTTTTCCTCGTATTCATAGGTATGGTTTAGGGAAAAAATGTGTTCATAATTTTTGGACACTCGGTATCTTCATAAGTGGTTATTTTTCCACTTATTTTTAACAGATTAATTAAAGATAAATTAAAAAGTAAATAAAGTGCTTCATAGTGAACTTTGTACCATCACATCTCCACACATTTATTTATCGCGTTTACCGTTCAGTGTACGTTTCATTTTTGTTTTTAACAGTACCTACTTACCTACCTACTTTCAGGCATTCTAATAAGTGATTGGTGTGGTTAGTGCGAGATTTAACAGTTTTTTATTAGTATTTATTGAAAATGTCGTGTTTGAGTCAAGTAAGTAGGTAGCTTACAATTAGTTGGAAAAATATATTTTATATTTTGTATTACATTTATTTGGGAATTTTGACATTGAAATAAAATTTGGACTTTGGATGTAAATTAACATATTAAATTGTCAGAATATATATAAAGAAAAAATATACTTTGTGTAAAAAATATTGGTTTAATTTTGATTTTTGTAGGTTTGTAAGACTGCAGCATCCACTGCATTAAGGGCATTTTCCACCACAAGTGCCTGTAATGCTGGTGCTCATGTAAATGGATTTAATTTTGGTTAGTTGATATCTAAAAATAAATAAATAAATAAATCATAAATATCCACTATGGAATTTTCTACAACTGTAAAATATACCTTTTTTATTCAGGAATTAATGTAATGTTTTAACCTAGAGTGATATTTTCAATTAGATAAAATTAATTGATAAAATTTTTATTCCAAACTGATATTTTTAATTTAGCGAATTTAAAATATCTGTTTCTTGTATTTGTATTTTTTTTGTTAATCATACATTTTTAATTGGCTTCATTAAAAATTTAATTTAATTTTTATGCCAAACTGATATTTTTTTATTTGCTTCTTATATTTGTATTTATTCACAGGAGATATTTTTAATTCGATTTAATTTTTAATTTATTAAATAAGCAGATACTTTTTTTAATTGAATGTGATATTTTTAATTCCGACTGATTAAGAGTTTGGATACCCCTGTTATTCCAACGTTCAAATGTTCAGCAGACGCTGGGTCAGTGCGACGTCGTAGATCCCAGTGATTGTGCCGCCATCTATCGACATAATTAGTTTGGAAAACCAGGGGTGTCCAAACTTTTAATCTGAGTTAAAAATAGTACATTTAATAAAAAATTAAAATGAAAATGAATTAAAAATATCTCCTATGATATTTTTAATGCATTTAAAAATTTCTCCTGTGATATTTTAAATTTAGCGAATTAAAAATATGTGTTTAATTAAAAAATACAAATATAAGAAACAGATATTTTAAATTTACTAAATTAAAAATATCAGTTTGGCATAAAAATTAAATTAAATTTTGATTCGCAAAATAAAAATTCTCATATGATATTTTTTATCTAATTGAAAATATCACTTTAGATCTAAGACATAAGAATAATTCCTGAATAAAAAATAAAATCTAGTGCTTTAATAGTAGAAAATTCAATAATAAAAATTTAAAAATTATTTTAGAACTCAATGAAACCCAGAGAGAGATCCAATCGGTGGCTCGTAAATTCGCTAGAGAGGAAATAGCTCCGGTAGCTGCGAAACACGACGAAACCGGGGAATGGCCGGCAGAAATCTACAAAAAAGCCTGGGAGCTTGGTTTGACGAACAAGGGAATCCCCGAACATTGCGGGGGTCTCGAACAAGGCATATTCGACAGCTGCTTGATAAGCGAGGAGTTTTCTTGGGGATGCACCGGCATCACTGTAGCCATCGAGGGTACATCCTTGGGAGTAAGTCCAGTCGGATGCTTTAGGATATTTTAGGCACTCTTTACCATTTGGTTTAATTTTAGCAAGCTCCAGTTATATTATCTGGCAATAAGGAACAGCAGAAAAAATACCTGGGAAGACTTGTTGAAGAACCTTTAGTAGCTGTAAGCAGAAAAAGAATACCTTATATATTATATTTTATTATTTAGCTGTGTATTTTTTTAATAGGCCTATGGAGTTACTGAACCTGGAGCTGGTTCAGACGTGAACGGTTTGAAAACTAAAGCTGAAAAGAAGGGAGATGAATATATTCTTAATGGTCAAAAGATGTGGATCACCAATGGAGGAGTTGCTAACTGGTAAAATTATTAAACCCCCTATACGCTAAAGAAGCATCGTTAGTAGCGTCACCTCGTGTCAAACGCGCATGTTACAAACGAGTGTTTTTGAGAATAAAGCCGAAAAATGTTAAAAGTATCGAAAAAAAAAAAACGTGGTACGATTTGTTGTGTTGTTGGGTGTATTTCGAGAGGAAATCCTGGGTTGAGTTTTACCGGTTTCCCAATAAACAGTTGAAATCCGAATAAAGAAATAAATTGCATACAGTCCCTGTAAATACATATTAGATTAGATACAATAAATACACATTAGTAATGATTTTCGTTAAAATTGTAAACAATTCAATTCAGTAAAAATCATAAAACAAATACTTATCTTAAGTCGTCTAAATTTTAACAAAATTTAGCATTATTAAAATCGTTGATTAAACAAGTCTCCACTCAACAGTAAAATACCAAGAACCGGTATTATATTATGTATTGTACATATAATGAAGTCGTTTAAAATGCAGTTGTCGGCGTTTTTTGAGAGGACTCAAACATAAAAATATTCGATTGTACAACAATTAAGGCGGGTTTGTACAATATTTGATAATTTAGTGAACAATTTATTTCATATACAATACAACTTAATTTAACGAATTATTTAATACATAATACATAACTTTAAAATCTGGTTTATACAATTCATTAATTTAATATATATTTTATTTTTTCAAATGACAATATTGATAATTAAGGCCTGATTTCCTTCCTCCCGTGGAATATGAACAATACAAAAACCGTTGTACTGTTTAAAGATTCCCGTACGGGAATCTATAAATGACACTACGATTTTCGTACTGTTCATCTTTTACGGGAGGAAGGAAGGAAGTAAGGCAATCTATAAATCAGGCTTAGGCAAATAACACAAAATTCCTCATTAAAACTCATACTTTGTAGTATTTTTTAAGGCACAAACACAAAACACAATAATTATTAATTATAACCTTAAAAAATGGAGAGAGAAAAATTGATGGCACATGCGCTGTTCAATCTTATTAATAATTCATAATTTATTTCATAAAAGTTAAATTTTATGAACTTTCAGGTTATTCAATAAACATTAAATTGTGAGTTCTGGATTAATGTCGGGTTTATACAACTCTATATCATTAATTTATTTCATAATTCACAATTTAGTGCATAAGCATAAAAGTTAAATCGTACTAGGTATCTGCTGTGAAACAGTTTATACAACGATTTAATCCCTAACTCACAATTTAATAATTAATAAATTGAATAACCTTGAAAGTTCATAAAATTTAACTTTTATAAAATAAATTTTAAATAAGATTGAAATGCGCATTTGCTGATATAAATAAATAATAAATAATAATAATAAATAATGTATGCAGCAAAATTAGTAGCAAATTAAGTATGCGTATAAGTTAAAGTAATTTTGACATCTGACATTTTTGGTTTGTTTGAATTTTGTTTTAATCCCGTTTTAGCATCTGTTAAGTAAAATAAATGAAAACTATAAACTCCACGTCAAACAATAAACCAAAGAACACAATCATTGAATAAAAAATCAATCATTCAGCAGTAAGTTTCATTTTATTTTCGGGTATGTTGGCATTACTGACACGGTTTATTTAAAAATTGCGCCGCAAACCTGCGCAGGAGGAATAAAAAAAACATTAAGAAGATAAAAGTTGGCCATCTCTTAATGTTAACTTAATGCTAAAGTTAATATTTATGCAGCACAAATTAACATTAAGTTAACATTAAGATTAACATTAACATTAACATTAAGAAGTTAAATGAACGTAATCCATTGGAAGCTTTTATGCAACACATTAACATATGTTAATGTGTTGCATAAAAGCTTCCAATGGATTACGTTCATTTAACTTCTTAATGTTAATGTTAATGTTAATCTTAATGTTAACTTAATGTTAATTTGTGCTGCATAAATCCAGCATTAATAATAATAAATAATAAAGGATTAAGACTGTCTTCATTTTGTAAATTTCACTTAGTGAAGTTCACTCTTTCTCAACTATTTTTATTGATAAAATAAAATAAATCACAGAAACCGAAAAAATCAGGGAAATTGAGTGTCACTTGTCAATATTGACATTTAAAAAAATAACATACCTATTCAATTAATTAAAAAATTGTATAAACCAAATTTTAAAGTTATGTATTTATCTAATAATTATATAATTATTAGATAAATACATAGGCATTAAATTAACAATTAAGTTATGAAATAAATTGTCCACTAAATTATCAATTGTTGTATAAACCCGCGTTACGTAACTACATAACGAATTGGATCTTTTGACAAAATATGAAAATGCAACGATTTAGTTCTTGAATTTTTTTTTCAATTAAAAAAACAATAATTCACCATGATCACTTAGATAAAATACACACACTAACGTAACTGTATAAGCATATAAGCGTTAAGTTTCTTAATCAATGATATAAGGAATAATAAATCGAAATCGAGTACTAAACCAAAGTTTTTTTAGTTTTTACTTGCAACGCGAAACAAAAATAACGGGCGCGATTAAGCTGTGCAATTGAACAAAATTTGTCGAGTAAGACAATTCTTGAATTCACAAAATTCTATTGAACACCACCAGATGCTTCTTTTGCGTATGAAATTGTTTTTCTAAACTAGTTACTTATTTAGGTACTTTGTTCTTGCCCGAACTAATCCGGACCCAAAATGCCCAGCAAGCAAAGCCTTCACAGGTTTCATAGTGGAGAAAGACTTCCTCGGCGTGAAACCTGGAAGAAAAGAGCAAATGATGGGCCAAAGGGCATCGGACACCAGAGGAATAACGTTTGAGGACGTCAGAGTCCCGAAAGAAAACGTTCTGATTGGCGAAGGAGCCGGTTTTAAGATCGCCATGGGTGTTTTCGACATGACCAGACCACCTGTAAGCATTACACAACACCTAGTGAAATCAAACAAGTATTAGAAATATTCCCAAAAACACCAAAACAAAATACAAATTGCTTAAAGTACTTTTTTCTTCAGAAGCTGTCTTGCAGTGTAACACTTTTGACTTTTTCGACGTTAGCTATTTTTTTTCAAGTGTTCCAGTACCACTCACATTGACTTATCTAGAGGATTTACTCAAAGAAAATAGTTTTTCTTAGAACCTTCCCTTATTGCCAAGAATGTTCTTAGGGACTTTTAAAACATTCAATAGATACCCTTTTAATGATGCAATTAGATTCTTAAAAGCTTCTTAAAACCTTCCTAAAAAGCATCCTAAGAACATTTTAAGAATACGTTTTTGGAATATTCTTAAAAGGTTTCTTATGGAGCTTCTAGGAAGCTTTTGAGAATATTCCCAAATATGTCAGATACCCACGTTCTAATATGTTGTATTCTACATTCGTAAAATTCTTCAGGAGACGACAAATTCGCCTCACTGTCATAATATGAATATATAAAAAAATATTTTGGATTGTGTTTTTTTACTTAGTATTTAATACTAATTGCTAATTAGGTACTTAAGTATAGGTATATATATATACCTTTATACGTAGTTTATGGTATATTTTACAATTATATAGGTAACTGAACTAAATATGCTTACCAGGAATATTCCTAAATTAATTTTCTATAGCAATTACTTTCTTAACATTCTAAGCATATGTTTAGAGTAGACTAATTTTTACCACTAAAACTTTGCACCTTCTAAGAACCTGCCTATAGGCCAGTAAGAATATTCTTAGGATCATGCTATATGTCTTTTAAGCATGTTCTTTAGAAGAAATATAGCATGATCCTAAGAATATTCTCACTGGAAGGTTTAAAAAACATTCTTAAAATAAAGTGTGCTATCAGGGTTAGTAGCTCGGGGTATTTTCCGAGGATTTGGTTAAGATACGTGGATGATATCTTTGCTATTTTCGATCAAAACGCTTGCAGCTTAGATGATTTTGTTTCCAAATTGAATAATTGTATTCCCTCTACACTGTTCAAAATCAAGCCTTTTGAAATACCTAATCAGAATTAGTTAAGGAAAAATAAGGTAATATGCCTAAACGAGTAAAGCAATTTACCTTCTCGTTTATTAGGCAAAAACGAATGCCTTAGTTCTATGGTGTATTCACTAACTTCTAGATAAATATTCATACTTTACTTAATAAACTTGTCAAATTTAAAAAGATAGGCAGATTACCTAAATATTTAGTTCAAAATCTCAATTAATTTTAGGTACGACAATTTTGCTTTTAATTTAGGTAATTCTTCTAAATTATTATGGCAAATTATTGAACTAATTTAGGTAAATTCCTTTAAATACTAGTGACTTACTTGCAATCGGCTACGATCGCTAATACCGACGTTTTACGATAAATATTCGCGCCTATATTGTCCACCATAATGCCAAAATCAACGAACGCTTAAAGACCGCGTTGTGTGCTATTGATATAATAACATAGTTAACAATTATTGTGCTATAAGTGAACATTTTGTAGTCACTACAATGTATTGCTATAGTTAAGTAATCCAAACTAAATGGAATTTCCGATTGACCCCAATTTATTTTTAAATAATCCCAACCCTGCAGGGTACATGTAGTACCGGAACCGCCGTTGTTAATTCGCCTAGGACATAAAGATAAAGAAGTCCTAACTTCCTATTCTAGGATTTTCACTAAAAATATATATAATTTGCCTGAAAACTTCTACCTAAAAATTTAAGCAAATTGCCTTAGAAACAGGAAATTTATTCTTTTATTCTCAGGCAATATCCCTTACGATCTAAGGTGTATCATCTTTGAAACCTAAGTAATTTTGCTTAATTAATTATTAATCATTTTCTTTAAAAATATCAGTTAAAGAATTCACTAATTTAAAAGGGGAATATTCCTCTAAATTCATTTTAAGCAGTTTGCCTTAAAAAATCAATGGTCCTATATAGTCTAATATTTTACAGTGTATGCCAACATTGTTGGCGAAAAGTACTTTAAGCACTTTGTGTTTTGTTTCTAATATTTGTTTATCTAGTGAAATGTTGCGATTTAAACTTTTTTTAGGTTGGTGCCAATGCAACAGGTTTAGCCCAGAGGTGTCTGGATGAGGCTACGAAATACGCTTTGGAACGTAAGGCGTTTGGTACGCAAATTATCAACCACCAAGCAGTGGCTTTCCTTTTGGCTGATATGGCGATAGGTATTGAAACTGCCCGTTTGGCTTGGATGAAGTCTGCTTGGGAAGTGGACAATGGCAAAAGAAACAGCTACATGGCGGCCATTGCCAAATGCCATGCTGGTGATATTGCTAATAAATGCGCTAATGAAGCCGTGCAAATATTTGGTGGTAATGGTTTTAACAAAGAGTACCCTGTAGAAAAGTTGGTGAGGGATGCCAAAATTTTCCAAATTTACGAGGGAACCACGCAGATTCAAAAATTGATTATTTCCAGATGTTTGGTCGATGCTGCCAAATCTTCAAACTAATTTTATCTTGTTTTTTTTATTTTGTAAATAAAGTTTTTTTTTGTTGATAATTCGTTTACTTTATAATAATAACAATTTGTCATTTTTCTGAAAATAAATATAACGTAACTTTATAGTTCACAAAATTCTCGGATTCGAATTTTTACTGGGTCATATACTTGAGATATAATCCCAGTTCCATTAAATTAAATTATCTTTGTTCAAATAACTTATTAACTTTATACAATGTTTTAATTTTCATTATATTAATATATAATATAATATATAATAATATAAAAATAAAATAGTGATTGCCAACTTTCTAATTTTAAGCCTTGCAAGGCTTAAAATTAGAAAGTTTTAGGTTCATATTTCGGTAAACAAATGATTTTATAAAAAAATATAAAATTTAGTTTATTTCCAACATAAATATTCCACAATAGCTGCATCTGAAGTAGGGAGAGATATTAAATTTACATCTAATGGGGCAGATGTTACAAATTGCTGTAATATACAAAAATATTATTTAAATTGAATGCCTACCTATACATGTATTAAACGCAATTTAATATATAGGGTGCTAGGTAAAGTCATCAGAGAAATTGAAAAGTGTTTATAGAAGAAATGTCATAAACTTTTTCAAAATATTTCATTTCAGTTTATTATTGTTTTTGTTATTCTCCAAATAGCAAGTGTCGATATATGGATGTTTTTTATTTTATATTTCTTTGTTAGCATATTAATTAAAACAAATAATTACTACTAGATGTAAAAACTTTTTCTTATAGGATATTGCAATAAAACTGGAACACAACAAGAAGTTTGCAATTTATTTAATTCAAAGTACACAACAAAAAATTTGCCCGTGTAAATTTTCTGTAGTACCCACCTGGTAAAAAAATTAGAGTTAAAATCTAGGGTAAACGTATGCATTATTTTAACTGTAATATCCAATCTTATCTATTTTTTATCTAGGTAACTCTTTTTTAACTCTAACTTTATATTAAATATATTTTACACTATTTAGTCACAATGTAACTCTTTTTCAAAATTAGAGTAGATATTTTCACTAAATCAATTAAATTATAACATTTGTAGAGTTATTTTTAAATCTGGTACATGGTACAGTTTTATCTAAATATCTCTAATAAATTCTTATTAGTGCATATTTTAACTCTAAAATGTGTAGATTTAACTCTATTTAGTGTGATTGACTCACACGGGGTGTTTCTCTTTCCATTCTACTAGCGTGCATTTGTTTATTGTTTCATTGGAATTTGGCAGTGTGACAGTGATTTTGTGTGCATCATTAGTTCATTTTATAACGTCTTAAATTCTTGTATACTACTACACATTCCTTATAAAATACCTATGTTATAAAATTATCATACTCATCATACATAGGTGTACACGATTATAACCTACCTTAATATTTTATAATACATTTTTTATAAATTTAATAATTTGTTTGGATACCCTTTTCCATTAAAAACACGATATAGTGTAAATTAAAAATTATTTACACTAAATATATTCAAATATAATGAATCATTAAATCTATTTTTTGTTAATATATCTTATTATCATAGAGTAGATTTAACACTAAAATGTGTAAATTTGTCTCTAGATTAGTAAACATTTTAAGTTATTTAGACGAATTTAGTGCTAAATTAACCATTTTTAAGTGTTAAAATACTAATTTAACAAGAGGTTAAATAAAACGATTTAGAGTAATTTTAACACTACGATGGTTATTAAAAATAGCACTATTTTTGGTAAAAGTTACACTGCAATGCACACTACTGTTAGTGTAAATTTATATTCAACTCTAAATAAGTTGGTCGTATATCCCATCTAATTAGTGTACTTTAGAGTTTATCAAAGATATTCCAAAACCTGGCCGTCCGAATATTAGTGAAGACACTGAAATTGACATTTTGTTACTTGTGAAAGAAGATCATCACAGTGCTTTTAGCCTATTCGCAGCTGAAAGTCAAGTCAGCCAACGCTACTTTGGCTACTTTGTCTGTGGCAGCCGCTAAGGTTAGATGTGTTTTATGAGCTCGACGATTTTTCGTTCGTTAAAAGAAATGGATCAAAGAATTTGTATCCAATTTTTCTTAAAAAAATAAAATAAATTCTGTGAAATGTTAACAAGTCCTATAGTGAGTCTGCTATAAGTAAAACAAGAGTTTACAAGTGGTATAAGAGTTTCCAAGATGGCCGTGAAGACGTTGAAGATGACGAACGCCCCGAACGCACAAGCACATTAACAACCGATAAAAACATGGAAAAAGTGGAATAAATGGTTTTTAACCATCAGAGAAGTCGCTGATGATGTTGGTATATCGATTGGCTCATCCCATGAAATTTTTTCGAATGTTTTGGGTATGAAATGCGTGGCAGCAAAATCTGTTCTAAATTTGTTAAATTTTGAACAAAATTTTTGGCCAAAAAGAATACTGTAATGATGCCCCAACCTCCATATTCGCCAGACATGCCTCTGTCTGACTTTCCTATTCCCAAAAATAAAGAGAACCTTAAAGGGCCGTCGTTTTGCAAGCATAGATGACATTAAAAGCGCATCGCTGAAAGAACTAAAGGCTATCCCAAAGATCGAGTTTTAGAAGTGTTTCGAGTATTGGAAAAAGAGCTGGCACATGTGCATAATATTCAATGGGGACTATTTTGAAGGCGACAACATTAATGTAGACGAATAAATAAATATTTCTTAAAAAAAACGAAAATTCTTGATATTTTCTGAACACACCTCGTACGTCTTATGAAGAAAGAAAAGTACCTTCCATACAAAATTAGACTAGTGCAGGACTTAACGAAGATGATCCGGACCGTAGACTACAATTATTTGAAACTATGATGAATTTATGAAACAATAATCCACACTTTCCTCGTAAAATACTTTTTTCGGACAAAGCTATCGATAGCTATCGATAGATCTTTTGTTTGAATGGTACAGTCAACCGTCAAAATTGTAGGTACTGGAGCAGAGAAAATCCTCATTGGGTATTAGAGGCAAATTCTCAATACCGGCAAAAAGTGAATGTCTGGGCAGAAATGGTGGAAAATCGGAACATAGGTCCTTTCTTCTTTGGCGAGAATATGACAGGACAAACGTATTTGGAATATTTGCAAAACTCTCTTCTTTCCACATTTGCAAAAATGTTTTCCAATGAGGATGGAGTTCACGATACACCTTGTATATTTTTTGTGCAAATTTGCACGCGTAATTCTAGATATTGATAAAATAAACCCATGGTTGTAAAATTAGATTAAGGGCAATAAATTTAAAAATCTTTGGCGACTATCTCGTCCTCAATGGCAGTATATAAATAAAGAGCAGTTAAATAATAATTATTATCCAGTTTTTTAGTTAATCGTCGAAATGGCAGCTTTTAAATTTTGCGTTTTACTATTTGTAAGCTTTTTAATGGTAGCATCTAGCCGGGCTGCCACTAAAAAACAAGTATTAGAACTTTTGTCTAAAGTACCAAAAGAAGGTAATATATTTTAATAAATAATTTAGAAGTTTTTCCTATATTAAAATATTTTTTATTGTAGAAAGAATAGCTTTTCTCAGGTATAACTTGTTAAAAGGCTACGAATATATTAAAGCAGCCCAAAATAATGTAAGTAACTACCTATTATTACTCTTTACCTAGGTGCTCTTGTAAAAATTAAAAAAATGCACAATTGCACAATACCTTAAGGTATTTAGAATTAATTTTGTATTATTATTACATACATATATTTTATATTTTTTGTTTATTTCAGAAATATTCGCGTATATCTCCCACAGTATCAGCGGCAATCTACCAATATGTAACCAATGAACACGTAGTGGCAGAAAAAAGTAAATTAAGGTCCCTACAAAATACAGTGTGTTTCCCTAGCGGCTGTATCGATATGGACGATCCAGGGATATATCCGTTTTAGATTATTAACACGTTTTTGCAAATAAAAATTTAAAACATATAAAAGACAAATATATTTTTACAAAAAATGACTTTGAAGTAATTTTTTATTCCTATACGGTTAAATTAACGTTAAATTTATGTTGTGCCTGCTCTCTAAAAATGAATTAGTCAAAAATGACTAATTTAATAGTTATTAGTGGCTGCTTTTTTACTTGCACCATGATTAACCAATGAATACACTGGTATCCCAAAATTTAACAGCCAATTCTTATGCAAAATTGTACCCTGAATCCGAAAATACCGCCAAAAGTTAAAAAAGTTTAACAGTTTTTGAGATATAGTCAATTTTCCATTTAATATGGAATTGACTATATCTAAAAAACTGTTCCACTTTAATTTTTAACTAATTCATTTTTAGAGAGTGGTTAATTAATTTAAGTAATATAGTACCTAGTACAACGTTAAATAAACCTTAAATTAACGTTATTTTGTAATAAGTGGGAATAAAATTATGGTAAAATTAACGTTATGTTAGTAAAAATTACTTCTTGGTTAAAACATTTGGTTATTTTATTGTGTTTAATTTTACTACTTTATTTACCTGTCGGTAATTTATAACTCTTTGGTTTTGGATTAAAATTAATGTAACACATTATAATTAATAATTACCAAAATTAGTTAAAGGACAAAAATAGAAGTTAATTAATTAATTAATAAATATAATTAAAACTCTTGAAATAACCTTAATTTACCTATAGGTAAATTTACTGTATTGGTATTTTTCCTTAAGACACAATTTGAGTGCTTAATATTTAAGCAAGATAAAATATGATGCATATTTCGTACTAATGCACTGGATTTAGATAGCAAAATTAAATTTATTTAGGCTTTAGTTGTTCTATAAATTTATTGTTTTTAATATAGGTAAGTAGAGCAAAAATTAAAACGTGCAGAAATATGAAGTGTATACTAGTTTATACTGTTTTGTTTTTATTTGGCACTATAGTGCCAAACTATAGTTTTGCCAAAGCATCATCAATTTTTGATGATATTCCTAAGGAAAGTATGTAAATATATAAATTTATTTTGGATTTTTTTAAAACTGTAGTTTTTAGATTCGTAGCATTACATAAAACAACAAATTTTACTTGGTTATATAATACACGACCTAAAAAATATTGTATCTATTTTGTCAAAATAATTATTTTATATTTACTTAATTCTTTATTTTTTTTTATAACTATACAGTAAACATAGAAAATACCCTAAATTTTTATAATTATTTTAAAACAAATCATCTTATAACAAACGTTTCCAGGCTGAATGTCCTGGAGGATACAATCTGCTTTCCTAATGGAGACTGTATAGATCGATGATCCTGGAGTATATCCATTTTGATTTATATTTGAATATAAGGTAATAAAGATATTTTTAAAAGGTATTTTTTATTTATATCCTTCAAACGTTTTGAAAACTAGACTTAACAAATTGATTTCAGATGATTTGCGTCTCTCGTCTGGCGAATCGAAACATTATCTTTCGCCTACTAGATTTTTTCAAAATATTTGAGAACCGCTGATTTGTTTTTCAATTTTAAATACTATTTTAATATAATTTAACCAACCTTGTACCCAAGTAGCACAACAGTTGTGCTACTTGGGTTACTGGTTAAATAACTAGCATTCTAAGTAAATTAACCAATATCTAAGTAAAATAACGGTTTTTTAAACTTGTGTTTTAACCAATTAGTTCACTGAAAAAAATAATCTCTTAAAAGAAACGAAAATCACTTTGATTCAAAATATTTGCGCTTTTGAATAGGGCCAAGAGCTATGTTTCTTAATCTAAATCAGAAACTTTATTACATTTTTTAAAATTACTTGAAGGGAGAGATTAATCTATTTGTTTAAGAATATCACAATTGTGATATTAATATTAGCTTAAATCAAGAGCAAGGGATTTCATGGCATAAGAACCAAAAATATTCCTTCGGAAGAAATTTCTCTTTCGAATGAAGAAAACGTTTTTTAGCGCATAAAAATGGGATTTTAACAAGAAAACTGCATCTCTTAATTGAAAAGCTTAGGAACTTTCTAAGAAACAAAATTTGTCTTGCTATACTCTCTAAAAGTGAAACAGTGAAATTTTCACTATTTCCGTCAGTGACTCACTGACAGTGAGTTATTAATTCACTGTAAAATTAGTGTTTTTCAATATAAATTAGTGAGATTTTAACTTTTTTGAAACCTATTTCACTAATTTGTACAGTGTAATTTCCATGGAAATAGTGCACTAACAAAATTGATTATGTAAGTGTTGTTAGAACTGCTATACAACACATATTATAGAAACGCTAAAATTGTATAATGCGTTTAAAAACTACTATACAACACTTACTCAACCAAAAAGGGCCCCGTTTTATAAAACAGTTTACTTCGTTAGCAGTTATATAAATACACTACACAACCCTTATAAAACTCAGTATCAGTATACTGGTGAACTGCTATACGATTTTACTATAGCGGTTTTACTCTGCAGCTTAATTGCACTTTACGAATATTTATAGAATATTAAAACAAGCATTTTATAAGTATGTTATAATGCGACAGAATCGTTATAAGAACATCAATTTGTTTCCTTCTCTAGAAATTAGGAATGGAGTGGGAAATTTGTATCCTAAGATTATTTTATAATGCGAATTATGTTGGATGTCAAACGGCTAAGATCCAAAGTGGTGCTTGTTGTTTATTATGTAAATATAATTATTAAACCCTTGAGATTTACGGTATCGAGGACATCTTCCTGCGGAGCAATCTTTTCTGGCAATATATGTATATATTTTTAACGAAAAATTAAAGCGCCAGTTAACAAACATACCTACTAAAAATTATTTAAAAAAAAAAATAATTTTTTATTTGACAAAGTTTCATGTTTTTTAAGAATATTATTGTTTTATTTGTTCAGTTTATAATTGACTAGTCTTAAGATTACATTAATTTTTTTCAAGAAAATTCAGTTTTAACGTTTGTTGGTAAAATTCACACAATGGCGGCGATTTATAAACAATTGATCGGTCAATAAATATGGCGTTTTTGTTATAAAATGGTTTTGTCTTTATAAAAACGTTATACAATTTATCTGCTCTGTCGCGTGCGTTATACGATATTTAGGTTCTGTAAAGTTGTTTAATACAGGCGCTATAAAAAAAAGTAAAGCAAGAAACTGACATTTGAGATGTTGCCAGATTTTATCTGTATTTTTCAAATTATTTGTTTTTTTTTAGAATAAAATACTCATACTGCACGACGTTACCTTCATTTTTTATGCAAATAAGGATTTGTAGGTAACACTGCTGCCTAAAATAACAACCCTGTAAGTTCATTTTTCGTATTGGCTATAACGCCTTTGCCTACTGCGCAATAGAACAATAATATCGCTTAAGGTATGCATTGTACCGCACTATACAATTGTGTTCTGTTTTATCCACTTTTTAGCGGTACCTTCTTTATCTACATGTGACCTAACCTATTGATTGTAAAAGAATTTGGAGTTGGTGCCTCAACTAAATGTTGAATAGAATTTTCTATTGCGGCAGTACTTCCAGAAGACTGAATCATTCTCTGATAATTTTTTTTTTGCTCTTCTTTTAAAATGCCCACTTTTCTTAATTTTTTTCCATTGCGACTCCATTTTAAAAAATACTTAACTTATTTTGGCGTAATAAGACACTAAATGTATAAACAGACTTAAGTAATAAAATTATAACGCAGAACTTGCGATAATTTTATTTTATAAACTTTCTATAAAGAAGTTAATCGGTGTAGTTATAGGATAATTATAAAATAACTTTATACTTATTGTGTAGTGTGTTTACTTCTGCTTAAAAAAAATTTTTTTTAATGTATCTTATAGAGCTTCAATACAACTTTTATACAAATTCTATTACAACTATCATAAAACGTTGAAACTACAAGTATAAGAATAGGTATAAAACTCTATTATAACTTTTATACAACTCTTTTAAAATAATTTTATAAGGGATTGTATAAAACGTTATACAATGGTTAAAAAATGTGTATGAGTTTGGTTCTATAACACGAGTTGTAAGAATATATATACAATAATGTATTAGAATTTCGTCGTTTTTACGATAAAATTATTGTATTAATACGCATTAAACAATAAAAATGTTCTTTTTGCAGCTCTAGACGATAGTTATAAAACAATTCAGTTCTTTAAGGGATTTATTTTGCTAGTTTCGCTACATGAAAAAGTGAGTATTCACTAATGGCTAGTGGTATACTTATCACTGCAGCAAATAGTTAATATGCACTGTCAATGAGTGAAATCCACTGTTTCATTTTTAGAGAGTACAAAAGAATATACTATTGACCTAACCACATTTTATTTTGATTTTAGAGCAAATATCTCTTTGTCCAACAGTATGTATTGCTTTATTCAAAAGCTTCTGATCTTTACTGAAACTACCAGCGTTGTTAGCATTTAAGCTTAAATTCCCCTCACCTTTTGATTTTAATTATTAAAACATTTAACAATTAAAATCAAGGACCTTTGTAGTGGGGGAGTTAAAGCCAAAATATTGGCATCGTTGAAAACTAGAAGATTAACTGAAAAAATGGTGTACAAGAAAAGACATTTTTTTAAGTTTTATTGGCTTTTAGGCTTTTTCAGCCTATTTAGCCAGCACATTATATGTAATTTTTGTACATTTATTGTTTGATATCAACAAAAGCGCAAGTTTTTTTTTATACTTAACACCAATAAACTAACAAAAATATGATTTAACATACAACTTTTATTACATATTTTAATTAATACCTTACCTTCAAAAACATTAAACAAATTAATTAAATTTTTTTATTTATAAAGAGTTTTAATGATTCCAACAAAATGTATATTAGAAATACCTATAATAGAATTATAATGTTATATCACTGCCCCTAGAAAATGGCGAATTGCAAGTTGCAATGATAAAAACGTACTAAACACGTGTGCCGCAAACGGTGTGCGCGTTTAGCATACCCTCCCACGTATCAGAAGCTACAAGATTTTGTTAGAAAATTGACATGCTATTGGGATAATTGGGATGTATATTGAATGAATTTCGTAAATATAAATAATTTTCATAGCTTTTGAACAAAAACACTTTGCACTTGGTTGAAAGAAGAATCATTGAAGAGATTTTGTATTTGCGTTCAAGAGAGTTTTGTGTAATAAGGATACTTGGGGCACCCTGTATATTTTATGCTATTATAAATTAAACTGACATGGTTTAAATATGATTGTGCGGTATAAAGACATAATTTATTGCATTAAAAATCGTAGTTTGTACTTACAAATAAAAATAAAAAGTCGTATCAATAGCTGGATCATAAAGTTTTACAGTAAACAAAAAACATGGATTAAGATACCAAATAAAGGTCTATAAAACTTATAAATTATGTATAAATTCTATTATTTCAACATTACTTTTTTAATAAAACGCATCGAGATGAAATGTTTAATTAGTATTTTTATTGCTTTAGTTTGTGTTATTCAAATTGAAGCAGTGCCTTTAAAATTGCTTGAAAATAGTTTGGAAGTTCAGAATATTATCGGGAATGTGCCCGAAGAAGGTAAAAAATATTTCAAATTATTGTTAAATATCAATTACATGTTGTTTTTCAGACAGGAAAGCTTTTTACAAGGATCAGATATTTAAAGGATATGAATTACGTTCAAAGATGGTAAATAAATATTTTTTGTCATTTAAAATTTTTTGAATGTTTGTATTTTTAGCAATTTGATGTTCCAAAGGAAATAACTTTGAAGATTTACGATTATTTTTTGAAAAATAGAAAAGTTGAAAATTTAACAACAATTCACAATATTCGCGATACAATTTGCTTTCCAAATGGAGATTGTATCGATACTGATGATCCTGGGGTTCGTCCTTTCATCAGCTAATAAAATGTAATTAAAATTACAATAAATAAATTAAAATTTTCTAACAAATTTATTTAACAATAAAACAACTAAGTATCTATAAATAATAATAATATTAATAAATAAAAAATTAAGGACGTAGACTTATATCGTTCATATTAACACATTTATTTTTTGAGAAACAAATATATCTTGGTGCTGCACTTTTCATTTTGATATTTTTATTAATCTAAAATAAGCAAAATTAAATTGATACAAAAAAATCTTTAATTTTACCTCAAATTTAGGCATATTTGGAGGAGCATCCAACTTTAAAAACCCTCTGTATATAAGTTGTTTGTCTACAAAAAAATATAACAGTATTTTTACCAAACCAAACCTATGCCAACTTACCCGAATTTTGTTTTAAAGTTGCCGAATTAATAAAAACTACATGCAGCAGTAAAACTGTCAACATAAATTTGCCACAAAACATTTTTAACCGATTTATAATGCTGAACGTAACTTTGATGTTTCTTTAATTAATATTTATCCTATTTATACTTGTTTTATTATTGCATTGACTGGTGTAATAAAAAGAAAAATATATGTATACTTTGGTAAACAAATACTTACATATTTCAATGGTGATCAATGATTTATTGAGAGATAAGTATTTAAATATGTTGAAAAATTGACTTTATTTGACAAAGGATTAAACTATCTAACTGTATCTAAACTACTTCATGGAAAGGTTCCATTTCAATTTTGTTCGTTAAATAAATACGATTTTTTAAAAGCATAAAAACTATAAAGTTATAAGATTGGTAAATAGGTTTACATTGCAGTGTTAATTAATAGTAAAGTAGTAAAAAAAAACGAACCAGCTTGCGAGCGGGTGCTTAATTAAATGAGAGCCTAAAAATTTACATACTAATGGTAGTATGATACTATACTTATGATACTATACTTTTTCTACGAAAAATACTTAATAAAATCTAAACATTTTTTTAAATTAAATATTTGTATAAAGCGACATCTATACGAAAATAAAGTAACCATCCCAATAAACATTTTTGAAGTAATTTTCACCATTAACATTGACCGTTATTATTTTAATTTAACTTAACAATTATAAAAATAATTATTGAAACTTTAAAATATTAAAATAACTAACAAGATATGATTATGTTAAGAATAGTATATTATGTATCAAGTTTGATAAACGCCATTTTATACACGAATTTAATTTAGGCACGAGGGAGCTTGCGAGCAAGTGCTTAAATTAATGAGTGTATAGAAAAGTTTATAAACGAGGTGAATACTATTCTTTTTCTACGAAAAATACTTATTTTTATCTTAAAATGATTTAAATCAAAAATTTGTATAGAGCGCCATCTATGAAACAATAGGGAAATCTGTGTCAAATGTCAAATTTTTTAATTTTATAAACAAAATAATTATTATAAAGGTTATAAATCGAAATGTATTTCTTGAAAATTGACAGTTTTTTACAGTGAAAGTAAAGAAAATGTTTTATGAGCACTTTACAGTGGAGTCCGTGTCCGAATTTAAGTTATAGTTTACTGCCGGCGAAATTAAAAGGTCAGTACAATGTTCATATAAACTTTTCAAATATTGGCGTTAAGAAACTATTTAATACTTTTGTATTTTGTATTTTATATTGAGGTAGGGGAAGGTGGGGGAATTTTGCGCGGTGGGTAATTTTACGCATAAACAATTCTTCCAGATATGAAGTAAATAATACATTTTTTGAATGTTGCAAACTTGGAAACGTTGCTTTGGGTATACGGGGACTAAAGTATACCGCAATTAAGCTTGTATACAAGCTATAGCTTTTAGCTAGTGACCATGGTCACTAGCTAACTGTGATACATGTACGTTGATCTAAGAAATCCATGTCGTTTCCGCTACGAGTTAAGTTTAAATTTCTGTCCAATCGCTTAAATGTTTATAACACAACTTTATATGATCTTTCCTCGTAATCTGGTGTATGTTTAAATTGTTCAGGTTAACTTTTGGAATGTTTTTTAGTATCACAATATTTTTCTTGCAATGGGGGTAATTTTACGCTGAAAAATTGGGGTAATTTTGCGCTGCAAAATTTGGCCAATATAGGAGCTTTTGGTACAGGAGCCTAGATTGTTCAGCATAAACAGTTCCATTTGGGCACACGCGGAGTGTAGTGAAAAAAACAACCCCTAAAACTACATATGTGACAACTGCTGCATGTAGACCCTCTTATTTCTAAGAACAAAAATTTTATTTTTAGTTATTTATTACAAGAAAATAGTTTTGTTTTATTTTTATGTTTTAATATAATAATATTATAGAAATAAACGGTTTATTTAGATACCTACAAATCTTTCTCGCGCAAATGTTCCCCCTATGATGCGCAAAATTACCCTGATAGGTGGGTAATTTTGCGCAAATGCATTATTTAAAAAAATGTAGTTTTTGCATACCAAACAATTTTTTTTTATAAATTGCGCATTATATACACATAGTAGACTATCGCTGGTATTAATTGCAAAATTTCACATTTAAACTTAACAAAGATACTAGAGATTTTGCTTAGATGCGCAGAATTCCCTCACCTTCCCCTAATAAAATAATTTTCACATTTAGTATTATTTTACAAGAAAGGCACTTTATTTTAACGATTGTATGACATTTGACAACTGTCAACTAACTTAAAACTAACTTCAGCCCGTGACTACAGCGCCATAAAGCCACAACTTGTCAATGTGTATTTAAAAGGTCACTTAGTGTCATGGAAACATGTACGATAAAGGCGTTTTAAAGGTGGGAGTAGAAAAAACTATTTAATACTTTTGTATTTTTGTATTGTATAATATAATATTTTTAGCGCTTTACTCACAATAATTTAATTTGTCTACTCCCACATTTAAAACGCGCATTATCGTACATGTTTCAATAACACTAAGTTCCTTTTAAATACACATTGACAAGCCGTGACTTTAGGGCGCTTTAGTCAGGGGCTGAAGTTAGAAACAGGTTTTTAGTCACGGGCTAAAGTTAGTTTTAAGTCAGTTGACAGTGTTCAAATGTCATACAATCGTTAAAATATAGTGCTTTTCTTGTAAATCACTAAATGTGAAAAATTTATTATCTCAATACAAAAAGCGCTTTTTATGATGCCTCCACCATTTTTGCAAAAATGGCGAATTCGCCGGGTGCAATTTTTATGTTGTAAAGACAAATTACTAATAAAATGTTTTTCGCGTTTTATAAAGAAAATTAATGCAATTGTATTAGTAATACCTATATTTTACAATAATATTTCGTAATATGCATAGTGAATTTGTTTTTGAACTGGAAAATTTTAATTTCTTATAACTTGTTTCCGTGGTGTAGTGGTTATCACATCCGCCTAACACGCGGAAGGTCCCCGGTTCGATCCCGGGCGGAAACAATACTTTTTTTTAATTTTTTTTCGCCCAATTTTATTTTTTATGATTACCTAGTTTTAATTCAAAACTTTTAAAATGAAAATTTTCCGTTTTAGATAACATTTTATATTTTTTTTGTTATAATAATTATAACAAAAAAAATACTATAATATTATACGCCGCGTCTAGAGTCCCGTCAGACGGTTCTCTATTGCGCTCCCGTTAACAGAGTGACGTCATCAAATGACGCAATCTTAGGACGGGAAGCAGATCTTCCTTAACCAACGTCCCGAGTCCGCCCGCTTCAAAACCAACCCAAACCCAACAACCCAACCCAACCGACCCCGCCCCATTGGCCCCCCCCGCCCCATTGAGTAAAAATTTTTCAACGAAGGAATATTCATTTAATTACATTTTATATTATATAACTAGCAAAATGATTATGAGGAAAGGTAAATAAATTAAAATATTATTGTAAAATTAAATATAAATGGTTTTAATGCCACATTGTATTATTTCGGTATATAAATTCTTTAAAAAAAAATTAAAAAAAGTTGTAGAGGCGCGAAGGATCGAACCCCGTACCTCCCGCATGCAAAGCAGGCGCCCTTCCATCGAGCTACCGAGCTTATTGTAATAATTCTATCGCTCGAAAAATAATACCTATTTACAGTGTGTGACGTCACAAAGTTTTAACGGGAGCGCAATGGAGACCCGTCTGACGGGACTCTAGACATTATGAATATTATATTATTATATTTTTTTAAATTATGTCATTTTTTTTATAACATTTTTTATTTTTTTTGTTATAATAATTATAACAAAAAAAATATGTATAATAATTATTATTATATTTTTTAAAATTATGTCATTAGGTACTATGCTCCACACTTCAAAGTCCCACCACGTGACCACGTACGGAACGCAGTCTTTTGATAATTTGTCATTTAAGGCTTTTCAGGTTATGTATCTGTCAAAGTATAGTCAATGAAAGAAATAATATTTATACTGTTACCGTTTATGTTTAAGCGTTAAAAGTTTATAAATCTTTATAGTATCACAGTAACAATGGTTGGTTTAAGAGTTTATGAGTATAAATACTGCATTTAATGAAATTCTAAAGTGTATAGTGCCAAATAAGTAAAATTTTTGTGCATTTGGTCTACATAATACCTATGTTAATATATTATATCTGGTTTTAGCCATAAAATAGTTTTAGCTAAACGGCATTTATTAAAAAAATCTAGCTTCTCTATTATGGAATAAGAATATCTGTATCAAAGGTAGGTTAATATATTATAACAAAAAATATCATCTAATTTTGAAATTTTAAGGTTAGAAAAATCTATTTTGATCAAAATAAATAAGTAATTTGGATTATTTGGAAGAGTGTGTAAATATGGTCATATAAATATAGATACACTAAATAATTGTTGAATATGGTTCAAATTAAATTAAAGCTTTTATACTCGTAACAACAAAACTTGTGCATACCTCTCGGGATCCCTACTTTAAGTTAGATTATAAGGAAACAAACAATTTTTAGAGATACATGCAATGTAAAAATATTTAATACTCCCATAACATGTAACTTTTGAAATTCTTAAAAGTTATAATGATTTTTCGATGAAGATAAAATTCAGTTAAAGCTTTATACGTAATTGTATTGACAAAACTTTATGTAGGTATACTTTAAGCTGGATAAGAAAGACTACTACAAGTAAAAATATTAGATAGAATATACTGTGGTTTTATTTAAATTTTAAAATTTATAAGGTTATTTATACCTAATGATTGTTCGATGTAGATAAAATTTTGTCGAAGCTTTTATAGGTACTTGTATTGACACTATGGGTATATTAGCTGACAGTGTAAGGAACTTTAGGAAGGTTACCTATTGAATTTACAGTTTTTTAAAATTAAGTATCTAATGGTTTTATATTTGAAATTTGCAAATTTTAATAATTTTAAGGTGTTGTTTTTAGATTCCTTCTTTAAAATAAACCCCTTTTAATATTTAATTAATTTGAAAAATCTTAAAATAGTTAAGTTTTACAGTTGAAAATATTTATGCCGGAGTAAAGCAATATTAAACATTGTAAAAATTTCAAAAATCACATGTTATTTATTTATTTATTTAACATCCAGAGTATTAAATATTTTTACATTGCATGTATCTCTAATAATTGTTTGTTTCCTTATAATCTAACTTAAAGTAGGGATCCCAAGCACAAGTTTTGTTGTAAGGAGTATAAAAGCTTTAATTTAATTTGAACCATATTCAAAAACTATTAAGTATATCTATATTTATATGACCATATTAACACACTCTTCCAAATAATCCAAAATACTTATTTATTTTGATCAAAATAGATTTTTCTAACCTTAAAATTTCAAAATTAGATGATATTTTTTGGTATATTAACCTACCTTTGATACAGATATTCTTATTCCATAATAGAGAAGCTAGATTTTTTTAATAAATGCCGTTTAGTTAAAACTATTTTATGGATAAAACCAGATATAATATATTAACATATTATGTAAACAAAATGCACAAAAATTTTACTTATTTGGCACTATACACTTTAGAATTTCATTAAATGCAGTATTTATACTCCTAAACTCTTAAACCAACCATTGTTACTGTGATACTATAAAGATTTATAAACTTTTAACGCTTAAACATAAACGGTAACAGTATAAATATTATTTCTTTCATTGACTATACTTTGACAGATACATAACCTGAAAAGCCTTAAATGACAAATTATCAAAAGACTGCGTTCCGTACGTGGTCACGTGGTGGGACTTTGAAGTGTGGAGCATAGTACCTACTTCATTTTTTTCATTTCTTATTTTTTTGCATATAGTTTTACCGTTGTGTGGAGATCAATGTAACCTGTTGCGTTATGTGTTTTTTTCAACTATTAAAGAACAACAGAGAAACAAACATATTTATAACAGAATAACTATAAATTTATTATAAACAAAATGCACTTTCACTACTACCTATTAGGCATTTTATAGCTTTCATTTCCAAGATAATAATAGCATGTCGGCTCAATGGTCTAGGGGTATGATTCTCGCTTTGGGTGCGAGAGGTCCCGGGTTCAAATCCCGGTTGAGCCCAATTTTTTTTCTTTTTTTTTCTTGTCGGCACTATAGTAACTATTCCAGAAACAAGTTAAAAATAAACGAATTCTTTTGCTTTTGACTTATTTCTGAAAATCACTAAAATGGATTTGTCTCGTTTTGTCTGAAGGCTCATCAGTTGTCACATCAATTCTAATTTTGCACAGCTATAGTTTGGTATTAATAATAGCTGTTATGATTTGAAATTATCGCATCCATTCATTCGGTTTTATGTTTATGATGAAGACAGCACACGCTAATGATTACGCAGCCACAAATCAGACATGGATATTAATCACGGCATACATTTTCAACAGTGTGAACCAGTGGCGCACACAAGATTTTCTATTGGGATTTTAGTGTCAATTTATTTAATAAATACATAATTTTCATTGGGAGATATGAAAAGAAATAAAGGAGAAATTAAAAAGTGAGGTTAGGTTATTTGACAGATGCAGAGATATGGACAGATGTCAGATGTCAGCGCCCTCTAGAATCTATATTAATTTTTTTAAGCCTGAAACCCCCTAACAAATCAAATTTTGTGCAAAAGGTAAATTTAGTTGTTTTATCGCATTATTTTGGCCTCAGGAATAAGTGGTATCATTTTGTACAGTACTTCAAGGACACCTTGTAGGGTAAGGTGGGGTAGGTTCGGACATGGGGCACCTCCGGACAAATCAAATTTACCGCCTTAAAGTGCTACGAGAGTTTCCATATTGACAGTAAATATCCTTCTACGCTAATAGTTCTGTGGTCCGTACATGTTTAGCGACTTTGATCACTCGACAACTATTTATTTGAGAAAATATAAAAACATAGTTATTCTTATAAATTTTATTAGGGCTATCGTAAGCTTTCTTGGCTTGAGAACACCAGTAAGGTAAGTTTTATACCTTTTACCGCAGATATTAATATCTTTGGCGATACATAACCTCATAAAACAGCATCAGTTAACCATGTGCAAATTTTTATTTTGATATCTATGTATTTCTGGAACATGGGGCACGTTCGGACAAATCGGGTGGGGCAGCTTCGGACTGTCCGAATGTGCCCCATTTAACAAATAGAACCCAGTTTTGATTGATTTAACTTTCTGGGATGGTACGTAACTAATTTAAAAAGAAAAAAGGTAAAAGGTAATCCAGAATTTATACAAGCACACCGGAAAAGGAAAGAATTCAAGAATTGGAAACAATGAGAAAACAAAAGTTGGAGAAAAAAAACACGAAAAGAAAAGCATTACAAAGCGAATTTGAAGTGAAGAAAAATGATACAAAAGTTGGGGAGAAGAGCAAAGAAAAGGCGCCGAAGAAAAAGTTAAAAAAAATAGAAAGTGACTCCTCGGATTCTGATATAATTTACCACAGAATATTGTGCATGAGACAAAAATTTTTGATTTCGATTCTCTGGACGAGTTTCAAGACAATGACGATGTGCTCATGCTATTGCATGATGACGTGATCCATTGTCATGATTATTTGCTTGTCAAATACCCGACCAACAGAAGGACACTTCATTATATCGGCAAGGTAGAATCTTGCATCCGCTTTCCGGACTTGCAAGATATTTCGACTGTTTCCAGAGAAGATATAGTTTCGAAAATACCGAAGCAGCACCAGGAACTTCAAGGATGTGTTCGCTCTTTAAATTTAATGTCAATTTTGATGGTTATAATGTTTAATAAACTTTTTCTAATATAGTCTCTTATTCATTCTAAAAATAAATAGGTTCTAAATTTTCTCAGGCCTGTCCGAAAGTACCCCACTACTTGTCCGAATGTGCCCCAATATGGGGCAGATTCGGACAAATGCATTTTTTTAAGTAAAATATCACCAAACGAAAACCACTTAATATTTTTTGCTTAAGATAATGCTAAAATGTTGGAAATAGACTAAGCTATCCGTAGTATTTGCATTAAGTCTAAAAAAATTTGTTATCTTTGAAATATTAATTTTTGAAAAAACGTGTCCGAACCTGCCCCACCTTACCCTACCTATGGGAAAAAAAATTCAAGATTATGCAATAAATAAAAGTTATTAAAAACATCTTTTTAGAAGTGTTTGAAACGTCACTGACTCAAACTATTGAAATTGGTAACAAATATTCATTCAGAATACAATATATTTCATACTATATTATAAATGTTTAGTTTGGTGTTCATATTAAATAAACCTTAAAAAGTTTGGTTATAATTATAAGCATGCTTTCACAAAAAGTATCTTTATATTTCCAAACCACATATTTAGTTCTCTAAAACAGTTTATTTATTTGTGCTAAATTAATTGAAATTTTATACAAATTATAAAAAAAAACGGTAATATATTCCTTTAACTTTATCATAGACAAATTGTTACAGTGATAGTTTGTTAATTAGTTGAACATGCATATTTTTAGTTTGTAGGTCATGCTATATATATAATCAAAAGTAACAAACAATGATGTCAGATTTCCGTATGAGTAAAGTAAATGAGTTTCTCCCTTTAAAACGATGTACATATTTTTTTGTTTATATCGAAAAACGCCTTTAGTTATCAGATTCCATCATATGCATTAATAAAATTTGAACAATATTGTAATAAATCTAAGAGCATTTTTATTGGGGTATTCCCCTAATTATGAATACGTAAATTTTAAATCGATATTCCATAGGTTAATAGCAACCAGTTTTTGTTCGAGGTATATAATGTTCGCACATAACAAACTTTGTCTTGTTTTAGCCATCATAGCTACAAGTATGAAGGTACACTGCAGTATTCGTGACGAAATTATAAAACAAGAAAATGGAAGTTTTAGTGGTGGCAAACTGGAGTTGACAGTTAAAGAAGAATCAGTCAATAATATCATATTATCCTACAAACACAAAGAATTGGATGATGGCTACAAGAATTCGTCAAGTTTCAGTGCTTCAAAACATTTCTTCGACGCTAGAAGTAAAATAGAAGAATCTCACGTGTTTAAAATTATTCAACAGTTACCCAAAGGTGCTTCATTGCATACTCATGTATTGGCTGGGGTCTCCATAGATTTTATAGTGGAAAAATTCACCTACATGGATAATATATATGGTGGGTTTTTTAATGGTGTTTTCAAGCTCAAATTTTTCAAACCTGGTGAACAATATCACCCATGGAAATTATTGAAAGATTATAGAAAAGATGCGAATTTTGATGATTGGTTGAAAACACAGCTCTCTTTAGTGTATGACACATACGATTCTGTTGATGATATATGGGCAAAATTTAAAAAAACGTTCAGTACAATGTACGACATGATTTGTTATAAGCCTGTTTTTGAGATGTATATTGAACAATTTTTGAATGAGCTGTATAAAGATAATGTTGTGTATACTGAAGTTAAGGGCACATTTATGCCTTTGTATGATTTAAATGGTACTAAGTTTGATACGAAAGATTTTTTTAGAATTTTCATTAATACAGTGGAGAAATTTAAGAAGTCTCATACAAATTTTGTGGGTTTAAAATATATTCACTCTATTTATCGTGGAGTTAATAACAACGTTCTAAAAGATGGCCTAGATGCCTTGATAGAACTCAAAAAAGAATTTCCTGATTTTATAGCTGGGTTTGACTTCGTTGGATATGAAGAAGAAGGCCACTCTTTACACCACTACAGAAAAGAACTGTTAAATGCCTCAAAATTCGACCTAAAGTTCTTCTTCCATGCCGGTGAAACGAATTGGTTTGGTCATACAGATTTAAACCTAATCGACGCAATGTTGATGAATTCTACCAGAATTGGACATGGTTTTGCCCTACCAAAACACCCAGAGCTAATAAAAATGGGTATAACCAAAAACATACCTTTGGAATTATGCCCCATATCCAACCAAGTTCTTAAGCTAATTGAGGACCCTAGAAACCACCCCTTAACATCACTTCTAGCCATTAACTACCCCATAGTCATTTGCAACGATGACCCAGCACTATGGAACGCCACTGGTGTTAGCTATGACTGGTATGTCGTTTTTATGACCATGACTCCGAAAAATGCTGGTTTGGGATTTTTGAAGCAAATGGCTTTGAATTCGCTGCAATTCAGTGTGTTATCTAATTTGGAAAGGAGTGAAGCTTTCAATGTATGGGAGAGACAATGGGATCGATTTTTAGATAATATATTAGCAAATCATAATTTAGTATAATTAAAATTATTATTAATAAAATTATAATTTTGAGATTTTAAAAATTTGTGGAGCGTGTAATGTAGGCAACCCACGTTACAGTTTGTATTTATATAGGTATTCAAATTACGAAATTACGACATATTTTAAGTAATGTTTTTCGGTAAATGACCCAACATTATAAAAAATAAATAAAAATAAATAAAATTTTGAAAAAAACTTTTTTTTATTGTAAACCCCACTATAATATTATGTTTTATTATTTGTTTGTTTAAATTACCTTATTTTTATAACGAAAAAAATTATTAAAATTAATGCACAGCAAACAATATTTATATTGGTTATAACCAATGGGTATAAATTAACCTGCAAGTTTATTTAAACCATTTGGTTATTTTATTGTGTTTTATTTTATTGTGTTTTATTTAACTACTTTATTTACCTATCGGTAATTTATAACTCTTTGGTTTTGGTTTAAATTCGGTTAATGTAAAAATTAATTAAATTAAACTAATTTGTTATTATTAAAATAACTAACCTAAAAAAAATACCGCCGATCTTACGTTCTGATTTTAGTTGCAGCCCTGCCTTATAAAACGCATATGTTCTTTAATAAAACCCATATATGCTTACGAGATTAATTAAATGTGAAGGGACTGTTTTAAGATTTGTACCTACATAAATAATTGTTTACAACTTTGTTACTCCTTATATAGTAAATATTTTTTTAAATAATTTTTCTATTCAGGTAACAATGAAAACTGCAAAACCATCACTTTTTTAATACACCTGTAACAAAATAAATAAAATCAAACAAAACATATAAAACTTTAATAAAACAAAAAAAATTCAACAAAATATAGAAAATCAAACAAAACATATAAAAAATTAAAATTAAAAAGTAAAAGGATTTAAAGAAAACCTTAAAAACTTACCGCATTGGTGAAAAATCTCCTAATATTAGTCTTTTTGAACCGTTGCGTGGAGCGCCCTCAAACGGTCAAGTGAGGAACCCGAGTTTTAATATTTTGTTGGCTTTTATATGTTTTTTTTTGATTTTCTATATTTTGTTGCATTTTATTTGTTTTATTATAGGTATATTATATGTTTTGTTGAATTATATTTTTTTCGTTGTTTTATGTTTTGTTACAGGTGTATTATATGTTTTGTTGGATTTTATTTGTTTTGTTATATTTTATATGTTTTATTATATTTTATATACCTATTTTGTGTTTTCTACACATTTTCCGTTAAATTCTATATTTTGTGAGAGATATTTATTTTCTACACTTCTATTTTCACGCAAACGGCGCCTCATATTAATTTACCAGCGAGTTAAAATATATTTGGTAAAATATAACTTGTTGGTTAAAAAAATGTATCCAAATTAACCAAAGCTCTTAAAATAACCTTATATATAAGTAAATTTAGGTTATTTAAAGAGTTGAAATGAACTATAATAAACTAAATATTTAACTATACTCAGAGCCGGCTTAAGGCAATTGAGCGCCTTAGGCACTTAAAAATTTGGCTCCTCTAACTAGATACTATACTTACTGGGCCCGGGGCAAATTTTAAAAAAGCTTATTAGAGCCACCCCCAAACTGTTAGCTTAAGGGCGCCCGAGCATTATAACCTAATTATTCCCTATGAATTAGAATACTTTTTATCATTAAAAAATAAATATAAAACATAAATAACATACAAACATAACAAATATAATGTAAATAAAAAGTGTTAGGACTTATAAGTGCGTTTTTCTGCAAGATGTCATTAGTGAGTATTTAAAAAAAATTAATTCAACTTTAATTTTCTGTATTTGTATGTTAGATTTACTGCTGGTTTATTGTAATTAGTTTAATATTAAAATTTCAGAAATACCTTAAAACAAACAGAAAAATTAACACTATCTAAATGTGGATTTAGCCAGCATTTAGTGTAACGTAATCTAACGTAACGTAATTTAATTTAAAAGCCAGGCTAAATCAACCTTAACTATCGAACACAGACTGCTATCACCAAACACGCAACACATAGAAGTGCCACTCTTGAATAAACGCGAAAACACCCAAGTCCTTCCGGCAGCAGTTTCCTCTAGTATCGCGTACCCGCTGGGGTGAGCAGCACATCACAGCGGGTACCCGATGCAAGAGGAATCCGTGTGCTTGGAGCATACGGGGGTTTTGAAATAGTTTAAAGAGTGCTAAAGATATGTTTAAACAGGGTAAAGTTTACAAATTAAATTATCTTTTAAGTTTTTGTTTGCAGTTTAACGTTAAGATTTATTATTATTTGTTAATTATACAGTTAATAATAAAATATCTTATTCTACTTTAAAACGCAGTGCCCTCGTAATCAAGCATGGTGATATAACACCTGATTAATTTTATATGAAATACATTTATGTATTTGGCATAAAAACAGAAGTGAATTTGCCGCACGCTTTAAAAATAATAAAAACAGTAAATAATTTTTTGTTTTTACAATTGTATATTGTTTATTTGTTTTATTTTTGGAAAAAATAAACATTTTGGTAACAATTTTTATTTTTTTTTAAGTTGCCTGGGGACAAGGCGCCTATTTCTACGTGGCGCCTAAGGCAATTGCCTTGCCTGCCTAATGGGTAATATGGCCCTGACTATACTCGTATACTAGTTACTAACTATAGTTAGTAATATTATTTTACTAGTTAAATTATACTAACCGGTTGGTAAATTTAAAGGGTTATTTTTTAGTTTTTATTAGCCTTAAAAAATGTTAATGGTTAAAAAACAAGTTTTAGAAAATCAAAATTGTGTCCTTTATTTTGAAAAATAAAGCATTTATTCATAAATAACAAAAAATGCTCATTTAATTAAATTAGTGTATTTTTAAATTTTCCTAAAAAGTCAAAACTTGTTGACCAATAAATCTTGATAATGGCTCGTACATAGGGCAATAAATGATTCAATTGTATAAGAATTTTGTTAGTAAAGCAATTCCCCAAATAAAATTAGACAGTTGATGATAGATAAAAATTTAAATCGTATTTAATGATGAGATATCGTCCATTCATTTATTTGTTAGTGTTGAGTCAACTTAGTAGCACATTATCGAAGCAATGGGTCATGTACGGTCAGGCACGCTGTTTTTAGTGCTATTTATATCTGGTTTGTTTTTGAATGCGAAATCTTCGTATTGGGATGATCGTGAAAAATTCATCAGAAAGGAGAAAAGCAGGGAGTTGGGCGCCGATCTAGTGCTCAATGAAAAGGAGGAGAAAGTAAACGAGATTCTGATGAATTATAAACTGAGGGAGTTGGACGAGGGGATGCTCAATCCCGCAGGATATCTGCCCGCCCAACATTTTTTTCATTCCAAGAAAGGTTTGTGGTTTTAAAACATTTTCATCCCCTTTTGATTTTTGATTGTTACGTGGCTTGCATTATACATTGAAATAAATCAAAATTATAACATTTTTAACTTAAAATATTTTTGTTCGCAGTTTAGTCACTTTCTCAATTGAAAAAGTATAAGAAGTGTACAGGGTGATCCCCTATAATGTCGCCACCCTTTAACTTTTTTTATTTTAAGGGTCCCAAAAAATTAAAATTTGTGGTTATGTAGGTACTACAAAATACTTTTTTTACGTATAAAGAAAATTAGAAAATTTATCAGTATACAGGGAAAAACAAAAAGTTTATTTTTATTTTTCACCCTATATATGTATTTATTTTTCGATTCCTTGTAAAATTCTAAGCATATTTTATATAATACCATATACCTAAATTCAACCGTTTCTGAAATATTTAAATTATTTTTATAATAATAAGTTGAAATAGTTTGTCTTTCTCTGTCTGAGTACGCCATTTTTACTTATTTAACAAGACATATTGACATAATATCACTATAGCAATTTATTTTTAAAATAAATTTTGGTATACTGGGGCTTCTTGATTTCTAACAGTTTAAAAAACATATAATGATAACATTTCGAATGCGAATATTTCAGAAACGGTTTAATTTACGTATGTTTATGGTTTTTTATAAGTATGAATTATGCTCAGAATTTTACAAGGAATCGAAAAATAAATTCATAAATAGGGTGATCCATTGAAAAAAAATAAACTTTTTGTTTTTCCCTGTACCTATATTGATCAATTTTTCATTTTTTTTATACGTAAAAAAATTATTTTTTAGTACCTACATAACAACACTTTTAAATTTTTTAGGACACTTAAAATACAAAAATTATAGGGGATCACCCTGTACAAATTTAAAAAAATATCTCCTTTAAACTTAAATTAATTCTATTTATTTCCATATTTGTGGTTGAAACAGTGGTTTTATTGAGAAACTATTTGTCATAATTGATATGGTTATGCGTGTACACTGTTCAAAATTCCATGATCATTTTAACACCAAATTAACACCATACATGGTCTATATCGATACAAACCAAAATGGTGTTAAATATGGTTCGTTGGTCCGGTGTAAATTCAAATACTAAAATAGTGTTAATTTAACTTTCACACAGTATTAAAATAAATTTTACCTGGTGTAAATTGAACTCCTTTTCAGTGTTAAATATTATGTTTTTGGTCAAATTAAATCATACTACACAGAAAAAAAGGAAAAAAAAGGAAACAGGAAGTTCCTTGACGCATTACTAGTATATTACCAGTGGTATTATTCCAGAAAATTGAACCTTCAACTCGCTAGAGATAATGTTTTTAGTGCGTGCCACTAACTTAAAATAATTCAAGTATTGACAGCTGTTTCCAACTATTTAAGGTCAAACAGAGGCGAGATTTAAGAACATCACGTGATCCACACCGCCTTTGCCGCGATCGGTACACACTATGCAACCGGGAATGCACGGCAAATTGTTTTAATCCTTTTAACAGAGCGGCCATTTCAAGCGCGCGAAACGCACGAATTACAAAACTGTTTTTATAAAAAAAATTGTAGATTATTTATTATATTATGTATAATATGTTGGCATCAAAATTGTCAAAAATATTCTTCTTTTATTAGGTTATACATTAAATTAAAAAAACGCAAGAAATATTTTATAAAAGTAGATATAATTTTAATAATTGAAAGGGGTGGACGGGACAAAAAAAAGATTTATCTTGTCCCGTCCACCCCTGTCAATTATTGAAATTATCTCTACTTTTATAAAATATTTCTTGCGATTTTTTTATTTAATGTATAGCCTAATAATAGAAGAATATATTTGTTAATTTTGATGCAAAAATAATATATAATAAATTACCTACAATTTTTTTTATAAAAACAGTTTTGTGATTTGTCCCGTCCATCCGCTTGAAATGGCCGAGAGTGCTTTAGGTTGAAGAAACTCTTATTTTACAAACATATTTAGTAAACTGAACCATACAGCGGGTTGGTTTTTTGGGTTAATTTAACCAATTTAAAAAAAAAATAACTATCTGGTTTAGTACCGTCAGACTAATCTTTGTTTATATTAACCTTCCCAGAGTTGATAAAAACTACAAAAATAAATACTTATGGGTCAACTAAATTAATATAGTTAAATGAACTATTCCTTTTTTTCTGTGTAGGTGCACTTCTCAAATATTTTTAGATATACACCGTTTTGGTGTTTGCTGTATATAACATGTTCAACCATAATTCATGGTGTTATATTAACACCACTTTAAGATTACTCTTTACACCACAGATATTTTAAACAGTGTAACAACTTTTTATAATCATAAATAATTAATATTTATAAAAATACTTATTATGAACAAATTGAAACTTTTCTTGAACATCATTGGATATTTATTTTTAATCTTTTTATAATAATGATTTATTATTTAAAACCTAAAATAGTGTTTTATGTATCAAATTTCATAAACGCTATTTTAGTCGCGAGCGAGCGCTTAATTAAATGAGTGCCTAGAAAAGTTTATAAACGAGTTGTTTAAATTAAATATTTGTATGAAGCGAAATGATGTCGCCGACATCTATACAAAAATAGAGTAACCATCCCAATAAACATTTTTGACGTAATTGACACCATTAACATTGGCCGTTATATATTTTAATAAAACTTGCAAAATATTACCACAAAGTATCTATTAATAATTCTTACACGGAAAATGTTAGAGGTACAAAAAGTGACAGTTGTATATATTGGAATTTCTTACTTGGGAATCTACCGACGTTATAATGCCAAATTTTAATCAAAATTAATCCCTTGAAAATAGACTAACAATCGATATAGAATCAGTTTTTCACAGTAAAAGTAAAGAGAATGTTTTATAGGCACTGCAGCAAAATTTTTAATGCTTTATCAGTTAAATCTAGTTTACTGCACTACTACGGCGAAATCAAAGGAGCTCCAAAGGTACTCATCTAGAGTACGAACGTTTATATACTATTTTCAAATATTGGCGTCAAGAAACTATTTAATACTTTTGTATTGAGGTCATTAAATAATTTTTAGATAAAGTATTATTTCACAAAGAAGGCCACTTTATTTTACCGATTATATGACATTTGACAACTGTCAACCAACTTAAAGCTAACTTCAGCCCGTGACTAAAAACCTGTTGCTGACTTCAGCCCGTGACTAAAACACCATAAAGCCACAGCTCAGTAAATGTGTATTTAAAAGGTCACGTAGTGTCATTAAAACATGTACGATAATGGGCGTTTTAAAGGTGGGATTAGAAAAACATAATTAAAAATTAAATGAAATTTAACTAAAATTATTATTTATAACAGCAATTGTAATCAATTTTTTTAGTTTTATTTAGGTTATCTTTAAGTACACCTTTTAATCAAAATACCAGTTTCATCTGGCAAACAAAAGTCTTATAAATTCACAAAAATTACAGATTTGCATCTATACAAGGTTGCCGTAAAAACACGCCAACTTTGATATTTTTTAATAGTTTTTACTTGCAAATCTCATAGAAAAACTATCTTTTTTAAGCAGACAAAATAGTTTCAGTTTCATTCAACACTCTAACCTGTACAGTATTGCGAAAAGGGTTGAAATTATCACTTTTTTTTTTAAAATAGTGACAAAACTAATTTTCTAAGCTCTGAGAAATAGAATCAGTAGCAGTGCTGGGCCAAGTACAAGTGAAATGTACTTAAGTACCGAGTGCAAAGTCCTTTGTATAATTCCTGAAGTACAGAGTATCAAGTACTATACTACTTGCAAAGTAGTTCAAGTACAGTATTCCAAGTACTGTACTCAGTATTTTATAATTGTATTTCAAGAGTCCATGTCAAGACTCACTACACTGAAAGAAATATATACTAAAGTTAAATAAAAAAATAATTAGGGCAAATATATTTTATGTTTCATATATAGACTACCACATACATTGCTAAAACAAATATATTCGTTTGGTTAGCAGCCTATTGCTGCCCTAGCAATATAAATGGTGTTTCTAGCAATATTTTTTTGCTGTAATTCACTTATAGTTTACATTTTATAGTAAGGGTAAGTTTATTTTTATTTAGATCTAACATATCTTCTTTACAATAAATGTATTACAAAATTTACCATACATTCATAATAAACAGTAGTATAAATGTGTAAAGCACTAGTATAAAATTTTTAGTATAAATTTGTATTTACTTTTAGCAACAAATTTCTTTCAGTGTAGTATTAAGTACCTAAATAATTATATATTATGCATTATGTATACTTTACCGATTTTCTTCTAAAAAAGTTTTTTCACATTTTTTGTAATATCTCTGTAAATAATCATTTTAGGTATAGGGAATGCTGCAGCATAATGTTTTCTATCATTATTTTGTGTCGAAAGATGCGAAAGTTGTATGGTAGTTTTGTTTAAAATAAGAAAGTTATTGGTATTTAAAGTGACAAAAAAGTCAACGTAAATACCAGACACCCTGTATAAAATTTTCAAATCCCACTAATGGCATTCGATAGAGTGCTCCTTGGTTAACACGTACTTTTTAACATTACAAGTAGTGGTAATACAGACATATTATTTTCAAAATTTTTGAAAAACTCAAAAACAATTAAAAATAAAAAAATAATTTAGTATTTCTAGAATTTTACGTAGAATTTAAAAATGCAATAATATTTATATGGTTCCATTTGAAAAACCAAAGTTGATATCACTTCCGGTTTAATCGGAAGTGATAACGCATGGAAAATAATTTTTAAAAATGGTTTACATTGCCTTATAATTGCTATAGAAATTTCAAATCGATAACTTTTTCCGTTCTCTATAAACTTCTAATGTATAAGTTAGGTTTGTACGTAAATTACATTTGCAAGAACATTTCTTAAATTAAGAACCTATGTATATTGACGTAATTTTATTATGATTTAGGAATAAAATAAAAATAAGCCAAAACATAAAAAAAT